TAAAATAATCTTTTAAAACTATATCAACGAAAATTTTCCTCTATATAATATTTTATTTTTACCCAGCAATCCTTTATATAATTAACAAGTGGACACAAAAAAATATTAGTGAAGTAATAATTATTTTCAAAAATAATCCTTGTCTTTCCGTTATTTCCTTCACAGAACATTCCTTTATAATAGACAAGGATTGTTGAAGTAACTTTTACAAAGTTTAATAGAAGTTACTCCTACTACTTACGAGGATACATGTAGTTCAGAGACCTTAGGTGAAAATTCTCAAATGTTCCATCATCTTCATATCGATAGTCAATATATTAACATTTCTCTGATACAGTTGCTTTATTGATAGACTAAAATTAATAATTTTAATACATTTCGCATTTTATTTTTAATTTATAACAAGTGGCTAGAGCCCCTGAAGATCGGCTAGCGTCCCTCCAGGTTGTCCCAGTTGCGCCACTCTAAGGTCGGCAATGGGAGAAAGGAAAGGTAGATTTGAAGATCGCCAGCAAAAAGTGGTTTTGGGGATGATGGATGAAATCAGGAAGGTCGTTGAGGTAGATGGAGAAAAGAGTTCACCACTATTTAGTAAGGGGGGGGGGCAAGAAGGAGTTTTATTGGCTATGATGACTGTTTGATACAAGATGGAATGAAAATATTTTATTACACTATTTGATATGAAAAGGTTTTGGAGTCTGGAAAGGAGAATTTCGTGATTAAATTAATCGAAGGCTTTTGAAAAATCAAAGAAAACCAGGTAGAGGTAATCTGTTAGTCTATGGAGAAATGAAAGTCGTGGGATTGAAACCCAGACTGGAGGGGATTGAGGAGAGTTTTTTGCTCTATAATAGTATTAAACTGTGAATTGACAATTATTTCAAGCGGTTTGACAGATTGGAGAGAATGAAGATGGGTCTGAAATCAGAAACTTAGTTAGTTTTATTTGCATTCATATTTTAAGCCAACTCTTTCTGTAGCTCTTTCCAGGACTAAAAATGCTTCGTTGATGGCTGCTGGTGAAATCCCAACCAATGCATCGTCAAACTCAAATAGTTGGACTGAGCGATTAAAAATCGTGCCACCGACGTGAATTTATGGTTTCCTGACAGCACATTCTATGACTATGTTAAATAAGAGACATATCAAGCAATTCCCTTGCCGCAATCCTTTGTGCGTTTAAAAGAATCATGATATATCTCCTTTAATTTTGACAGCGCATTTCATCTTCGTTGTCACTCGTATTTGCCGCACAAGTATAGATGGGGTTTCTTACTCTGGCTTATCCTGATATAGTTCATGCCTTAGGATGCTGCCATAAGTCCTTTGATAATCGATAAAGAGATAGTGTGTGCATATATTATGGTCCCTGGTCCTCTCGAGAATTGTTCTAATCGAGAATATTTGGTCGATCATAGCTCTCCCTCACATGAATCCAGCCTGATATATCTCTATTATCTCCGCAAATGGGCAGTTGCGGCTGAAAGAGGATTCTTGAAAGGATTTTATCTGCACATAACAGCAAGGATATCCCGTGGTAATTGTGACAATCCAAGATATCTTTCTTCAACTGGATAAGGCAGATAACAATCTTTTGCCAATCGTTTGGTATTACTTCTTCTTACCTTATGTTCAAGATGATATCTGAAAACTTCGTGAGTTCTTCCCTACCATAATTAAACAGTTATGGGGATATTCCATCTACCCTTGGTGCCTGTTTTGTAGATATCTGATTGCCTCTTTTACTTCTTCCATGTCGAGAGGCTCCAGGTCATCATTTAGTATTTTCTGCCTCACTACTATAACGTGAGGGGAGCTATCATTCGGAAGTTCTTTTAAAGTAGCATTTCTTCTGCTTCATAATTTCGCTTCTCTTAGTGACCACATTACCTTCATTGCCCTCACAGACATCTGTCTGGGCCTTGAATGTTCTTCAGCTTTCGTTGATGCGGTAGTTGAATTTCCTGATTTCACTTCGACTACTCATATTCTCTATCTCCAGTCAATTTCTGTCCCAGATTCTTTTCTTCCTGTGTAAGAGCCTTCTCTCCGTTCTTCTGGTTTGTTATTCTTATACTGAGGCTCTTATGTGCCTTCCATGAATCATTTGTCGGTATGCATTATTATCTGGCATTCTTCATCAAACTATCCAGTCTTGATGGTATTCTCTTGAAAGCCTAATATTTCTTGGGAAACTTCAAACATTGACTCCTGGTTCCTTTTAATGATTAAGGTATCTTCATTCGCTGAGGTTTCTTGTCTTGCTACTCATATAACTTAAGAAGCAATTACTCATATTATGTTACTCGAAACCCTCATAGTTAAACATAATTTATTTGGGTCCCTGTTAAACTCTTACCATTGATATTCATACACTGATCCGTGCAACAATTAGGTTGTGATCGGAATAAACATTTGTTCCTATGTAGATTCTGACATCCTGGGTACCATAAATGTGCCTAGAGCTCATTGATACATGGTTAATCTGATTGCAAGTATTTCCATTTCAAGTTCCTCTTATGGGTTAATGTGGTGCTACCTACCATCGAATCCGTGGGGATTGCAAACTTTGTTGTCCTCTATCCATTTTCATTTATTTTATGATAAAAACTATGTAATCTCGTTGTGGGTTTGTTCTGTGGTAACTTACCTGTTTTCCTCTAATCACAATATAAATATCGGCTCGTGAACAAATAATCAGACATCATTCTAAATCATTGTAAGAATGATCTTTTTCCTCTTCTTCAGATGGTTTCGTTAGGACATGTACGCTTTTTATGCGCAGGTAGCAAAACCAATAAATTCAGCCGGAAATGGATGCTTAATACGGCTTGTATGTATATCTTATGTAGTTAGCATGTAGCAAAAACAGTAGACTTTGATGACCTAATGGTTTTACGCCTGTAAACAATTACAAACAAGACCATATGGCAAATATCATAGGCGCAGACTTTCCATTCTAGTTGGGATCAATGACCCTCCCTCCCACCAAAGATAGTCTTCAAATTTTTATTATTGTGTACTTTGTTTTATTTAAGGATTTTTCTTTTAAGTTTTCTCTCAGCTAAAGTCCTCCCTCGGGCGGTTCCTCCACTTCTCCTTGTTCATCGCTTCCGACTTCCCTCGGCCCGCCATATTCTCAGCCACATTTCTCCACCTGACACAAGGCCTTCCTCTCCTTCTACCCTCGGCTTTCCACTCAAATGCCGTTTTGGAAAGTCGTTCGATATTAATCCTTTTCTTACTCCCATACCACTATAATATTTTGCTTCCATTATTTCTAGTATGTTATTCTTAATTTCCATCTTCTCTATAATGGTCTCATTTCTGATTCTTGCCGACATTCTCCAAAAATCCATTTTCAGAGTTAGAAGTATTTTGTGTGATTTCTCAAGTGACCACGTTTCCGAATAATAAATCATTGCGCTCTCTTCCAGGCCCTTATATATTAATTTATTTTGTTTATTATAAATATTTTCGCCCCAGAGAACTGAATTGAGCATACCATTGAGCGTACCAGCTTCCAGCTCTTATTTTAGCCATCTAATAGACTATTTTCTTAATTAATTTAAATTACATATTTTATTCATTCGTGTAGATTAATTGTTATTGATTTTATCTGTTTTTTAAATATCTGTTCTTCGAAATATTGGGCTGTAACGATATTCTAGAGGAACGATATTGTCGCCCTCTCTCTGTTTTTATTGGGTGAGAGGCGATGGCCGCCCTCGCCCTCCCGCAGTCTGTGCATATGGCAAATATATCTCTTCTTGTTCTTTCAAGAGTGGGTCTTTGATGTTTGATGATCATAGGAGAATATCTTTAGTGAACAATAAGAAAAAAATGCACTTTCTTGGTCCAGTTCTATGTTTTTAGATCTTTATTGGTTTGTTTAAGTTATTGAAGACTCTTGATCTGCTGTGTTCGTTTCAATTCTTAATTATGTTTATAAGAATATTGTTGATAGATAATACAACTCATTATGATATCATCACTATCACGACCATTTCCAATGTCTCCCTGCAAGATACACAGACATATGCTACTTGGTATGTAAACCAATCTGAAACTATTCAAGAGGTTTGTACCTTTCTTATCAACCGTTCATGAATGTCAATTAATTTGTCAGTAATTTATAATTCATTGAGAATAGAGCAATGATTATACCGCATATTCTGAATGAAAGAGGAACAACTCAAAATTTCGAAAATTTTAATCCTTGGACCGATGGCTCCCACCTCCATACCAGTTCCTGGTACATTCAGGGCTTCGTATAATATATTTATATTGTGTGAAAATAAATTATAGTGGCGCACATTTTATGTACTGAATAATATTTTCAATTTGTATCAACCTCTAAAGCTTTAATTATGAAATTCTACTTTTTTTACGTGCTTGAGCCCTTGAATCTGGGAAGCTCTGGATCCCAGCACCACAGGTCAGGCTACCCTTCGCTCCCCCTCCCCCTATTTCCAGGAAAATTGGTTGGATTCCAATTTAACTAAAGAGAAGCCAACCATGAAATATTAAGCCAAAACAATATTCACTAAAGGTTACTGAACTTATCATTTATGACTCTGGATATCTAATTTTGGTCTACCAAAAACTTTGTGAGTCGTGCCCCTTCCATTCAGGATGTTTTTTTGAAATTTGAACCTAATCAATTATTTATTTTTAACTCGGGGTAAACGAATGCCTATCTGAATTTAGAATCTTATGGTAATTTTACGTTGGGCTATTACTTACTAACTATATTGCATTAATTGAAATGAACCTATCTGTATTATAATATAGTCCATTTGAGTTAAATCGTTTCATTGAATGTGATAAATAAACAATTTACGCTTTGGGATATTATTAGTAAAATCAAATCTCAATTTGGTCAATTAATTAAAATAATTTTATTAATTATAATTAACAAGATTAGCTTGAGAATTGAAAGAGGAGGCGGCATCTAGCTGCTGACTGTCTGAACTAATTCAACTAAGTGGAACACCAATTTATACGGAGTTGCTCAGCCCTGAAACGGCTTCCTATTTGTTATTTTGATTTTGTTGTGTATATTAAAAATTCAAGAAATTACGAGATGTGGACGTTAATGGTTCACAGTGTTTTATTTTGTGATCCAATTTTAAAGCAATGTAAACTCTGTTAATTCGTAATTTTGTATAATTATTTTTAAATATATCTCCGTGTTATCGTTCTCTGTGGTAGGCTATTTTACATTATATTATGTCTAGGGACTAGAAATACGTTAATGTCATTGATGGTTTAAAACAATCAATTTGTCAAGTGCTTAACAATATTATAAGTGGAATATTAATTTGAAAGAGAAGTCATTAGGTTATGGGAAGTCCTACTTAGCTATTTGTTGACACCCATTCACCATTATGTCATTGCACCTGACGCTTGCACAATAAAAATATTCATTTAAATTACTACTGACAATCTTAGTTTATTTTGATTTAGTATGTAGGAATTATGCGGTTATGTAATTTAAAGATTTGTGGTATAGGTATTATTTTACTGTAACTATTCATTTTTATATTTTTAAGTACCTATTTATAATAATTCACACTTAATTCATAGCTTTTAGTTTTATTTATTTAATAAATCATTCACTTTGTTACATGTTATGGAAATGAAACAACAGATCATTGACGTCTTTGTTTTAATAACATTCAAGTTCTATATCATTAGTATCTCTTAATATTACTAATTGTTATTGATATATAATGGTACTTCAACGTATGTGATAGTATAATAAAACAGTTACCATTTTTATAGGTTGTAAAATGATTTGAAATGGTCCATACTCCACACAATTATGGTCATGACTTCTGGCTTAATGCTTGGGCATCTAACCAGACAGTCAGCATTTCTTGCTTTATGCCCTATGGGATATTTATTCCTTTTGAAGTTAGTAAAAATGCTACACTCCAGGAGATTAAAGAGGTAATTTATTTTATTCAGTATATATTTTGTACTTTTTTAAAGAATTATATTTTTTGAGAGATAGTTTATATTCCAGTGTACAAGATATTTAAATTTATTAATTAATTTTAAGTGTTAAATTTATGATTTTATTGTGAAATACTTGGTATGTGTTTGATCTCTTGTTTAGTTATTATCTTATCAATATTATTTTCTTACTCTTATCAATAACAACAAACCCTGTGTTGTAGATGCTTGATAATACTACATTGCTTATATTGGAAAATACTATTATAAGGTTATAGAACTTCATTATGTGCTTGGAATTTGATTTCAGTACAATTTATCTATTAAAGGGTTCGAACTATTTGCCAACTCATTGGCCATTCCTAGTAAGAAATTATCATGAGGAAACTAGTTATCATGATATTGTATCAGAGTACTTAATCTTTCCTTGTACAAGATACATGTTTTGCTACTCAAAAGTGGCAGAAAAATTAATTTATGAAATACTTATTTACTTGTGTTTTGAAAATAAGAATACATAATTGAAATGGTTTTTATATATGTAAACAGTCTTTTTCATCTTTCTACTCCTTAATATTCTCTATTATTTTTATAATGATTATTATTATTATTTTTTTTTTTTTTGGCTTTAAGATTTGAGACAATATCCTATTTTTCCAGCATTATTATTTCATTACTTAGTACATTTCAAAAATATTAGTTGTGTCTTCTTTCTTTCCAGTGTCTTATGGATATTAATATTGGATTATTTGTTCAGTTGTTCAGTATCACATTTTTATTATATTAATTAGAAAAATACAGGGCCTGTAAGCAGAGAGAAATATTTATAGGAATGATAGCATAACTCAAGAGCTCAATAAAAAATGGTCCAATTAACTGCAGAAAAGTAGATTTTATCATTTGAATAGGTAACAATAACTAAAAAAATATCCAATTTAAGTCATTAAAAAGAGCACTACGTAAACAAGATAAAATTTTTGTTAAAAAAGGTGATTTTACAAAGCAATAATTTTTTGTAACCACCCCATAACCTGGGATGTATTGTAACAACAATAAATTCATATAAAATGTTAAAAATGATGATTTTTCGAATATTTATCATCCTAAAATATTATGTATCAGTCTTTATTATTAAAATGTCTATTATATAAAATTGATCAGTATTCAGAAGTGACCAAATGAATATTTCTAAGCCTGATATTCATGTTTTCATGAAAAAAATTCAGCCAATCAGCAGTTTTCCTTATTTTAACCATAAGTATTAGGATTGGAAGCCTTTATTTGGTCACTTATAAATACTGATAAATTTCTACAATAGAGATTTTAATAAAAAAAATAGTTTCATAATCATTTTAGATGATAAATATTTGATAAACATAATTTTTAATTTTTTTTTTTAAATAAAAAGGTTATTTATGAATTCATGTTTGTTATGATATATCTCAAGTAATTGAAAAAAAAAATTGAAGCTCTGCAATAATTTATTTTAGTCATTTTTACAGAGACACTGGTACTTTTAGTTTGTTGTTGTTTAGGGCTTAGAGGCATAGAACCCCGAGGTCATCAACTCCTATGTCACTTTTACGTGATACGATTTCTGGCCCTGTAACCTTGTACATCATAAATTGCATTGAATGAGGGAAGAAGGTTTCTTTTTATTTTCTTGTATGGGATATGACTAAATGCAAAATTCAACTTTTCGACTTCGTGCCCCCCCCCCTGATCACTTTTGAATATTTCAAAAACTGCTATATTTTAGCTCTTTTTTCGGTTTTTTTCCATTTTCTCCATGAAGGATTACGTTAAATAGATTAAATATGCTACAATTTAAGACCAGAACAGACTCGGTAAATTCAGTTTAACATTACGAAGGTTGGGTGATGAAGGGGATGGGAGGGAAATGTTTGGTGGGAGAGCATAGTACGTGGACCAGACCTCCCCTCTCGTGCACCTCTCGCCACATCACTATAAATTGCATATCATTGTGTTCCTGATTGAACAGGTGTAAGTGAGAGCGATAGGTCACATATTATTTACTGAGTGTGTTTATGATTAATATTCTTGTTTTATTGTTCATTATGTTGTTTATTTCTTGTTTAGAGTTCTTTAGTTAATTTTCTAGCCAGTTAGTGTTTGCTTAGTGTTTTGTGTTTTTGTCTATTTTTATTAACATTGACTTGTAAATAGTGAGGTCAGGAGTGGAACGTAAGTTTTTACTACCTTGAGAGGTGTTTCTTAGTGAACTATTTTAACTGAGAACTGTAAAGATAATTAGGAAGAAAGGCCAAGTAAAATTGGCGGGACAATATCTTGTAAAGTGAACTTGCTAAGTATAAACATTTTATCATTGTTTACTCATTTATTGTTTCCTTCTTCCTCATATACCTTGAGCTAGTTTAAGCCAATCTCTTGCTTAAAATACTTGAGAAACTTTTGAAAAGTGAACGATATTGTGGGAACAGTTATTTTTCACTTTTTATTGTTCATGTGAAAAGTAATAGGTTAGTGATAAAAATACCATATAAACTCTCCTTCTGATAGCAATATTGTAACTTTTGCTGAGCTAACAAATATGGACCTTTCCACGGAAAATTTTGTGATGAAAGAGCGGCAGGAGGATGGTAAGCCTTCCAAGCCATTGGTTAAAAGAGCTCGAAAGGCTTCTTCAGGCACTTTAGATACAGTGGATGTGGCTAGTACTAATAGCAACTTCCACAGTGCCAAAAAAATTCAGGAAAGTATTAAAGTATCCTTCGATAAAATTGGGAAAAAAAATAGTGCCAGTGTTCAAGATCATATCAACAATGAGATACAATCTCTTGTTGATATGATTGAAATACTAGAAAGAGATAAAGACTAAGGCGGTGTATTAGCCATTGTTCAGAGAGCAGTTACCAAAGCACTTTCATCTCAGAAGGTCCACGACGTGCTAACTCAAATAATAGCTGATAGCTCCTTGCCCAAGCTACTGAACCACCTGGTGTGGTATCACGTCGTCCTCAGTTTGGTACTTCTAAGAATCAGCCACACTCTGGAACGACTAGTTATCAACCACAGAGTTATCAATATAGTTATCAATATAAGTGTCCTACTATTCTCTGACATTCTGCAGCTATGTAATTAGAATGGGCAATGAAAGAAAGATTAAATGGGTGATAAAAGCCAGACCAGAAGGAAAGCACCCACGAGGCCAGCAGATTTACACAGATTGACCCACAAGACTTGGGAGAGTAAGAGGCTGCTCTCTGACAGAAATGAAAGATATGGTAAATGATCTTGACAGTTGGTGGCTAAACCTCCATGTCTGGTGGCAACTTGGAGGTAGAGAAAGAAGAAGAAGAATGGAAGTCTTTCCTCTTTAGTAGTGTGAACTGAAATCACTGATGTGTTTCAGAAACGTCCTTTGATCCTCAAATAGCATATCCAAATAGCATTGTCCAGTTTCCAACCCATTGGCTGTACTTCTGCAGTTAATTAGGACATAGTATTTGAGTAAAAAAGAATCTGTCTCTCCATCGTACCACAGTGTTAATCAACCCCATACTTACATAGTACTATTTCAAGGTTATGGCTCGTACCTGCTGAGGACATGCCCACTCACCTGTGGCTTTCCTAACCATCAAAGTTCTCTCATTTCAATTAAAGAATTAAACTTCCTGCACCATCTAATTGCAGAAAGGAAAAATAAAGAAAGACTAAACATAAAATAGAAAGGTGAGGTGCGAGGCCTAGCTGAACATAACAGGAAAGGGCACAATAACAAAGAATTGGAAAATATATTTTAAAATGATATTTTGGTCAATGAAAACCACAATAGAGGAAAATTTGTTAATAATAATAAACAATCAATTCAAATTGATGTAAAAACTTCCGGACTGTTTGAGGTTGTATTATTTTAAATGTTCACATTTTTATAAATGTCATGGCTGCTACCTATGCCTTGCTCATAGACCATTAATGAGTTTAATTATTATTTAAGAAGAAAGGAAGACTTGGTAGTATTTGAATAATAATACAATTTATCATTTTCAAATAATTTGTCAAATTATTTCAAAGCCTTATATTATTTATAGATGCTTATTTTTGATTGAAGCTTATTTAAAAAAGAATAGTTACATTTTTCTTGTGCTTAGGATCTGTGGGAAGAGGCAGCAAAGTTTCCATTACATTGGACTCTCCATGATGCCTCATCATATGCATTCTCATGCATTAATTCCATGGCAGAAACAGAGGAGTTACTTGATGAAGGAAAACGGTTATGTGACATAAAACCTTTTGTTGGTGTATTGAAATTAGTAGAAAGGAAAGGAGAAAAAGCTGAGAAACAACTCAATGTCCAAATTAGTCACCTCATTGGAAGGCGTAAGTTTATTGTTTATAATTTAGTTTTCCATAGTTTTTAAATAAGCCTAAAATTCTATCCCAATAACATGATCTGCGTAGAAGGAAAATCATTCCCAATAGTAGAAAAATTCAAATACCTCGGTTCCACAATAACCTCAATGAATGACCAACAGGCAGAAGTAGACCAGTGTATAACTAGCGTAAACAGAGCTTTCTTCTCCCATTCAAAGGTATTGACATCCCGAAAAATCTCAAGAAATTTCAAATTAAGGGTGTACAATGCTATGACAAAGCCAGTTCTAATATATTGCTGTGAGATCTGGACACTAACCAACACCCTAAAAAAAAGTGTTGAAAGATTTAAGGGAAAAATCCTTCACACGATAACCGGAGCAATCGGGGATCAGAATACTAACACGTTGAGATGAAAGATCAATAAAGAACTGTTTACAGAAACTGGTCTATCAATACCCCATGATATGAAGAAACTGAGGTTAAGATGGGCAGGGCATGTAGCTTGTAGCAATCCATCTGAAATCCTCTACGTAACAATGAATACCTCAATAGAAGGCAAAAGACCACATGGAAGACCAAAAAGCAGATATATAGATAGATTCAACAAAGATAAAATAGAGTTGCTTACAGATAAATGGAAAGAAATAGCCCAAGACAGGCAAAGATAGAGATAGAGCTGGTTTGTTAAGTCGGCAAAAGATCTAAAAAAAAAGTTTTTAAATTTTAACCTTTATATTTTAATTTCTATTCCCACTTACGTGTATGCCTCAATTTCAGTTTAATAAAAATCAAAATTGACTATTGATGGTTATTTATTGTATGTTTTGGGGTATCTGTGCCCCACTCTTCAGCAATATTTTATTCTTCCAAAAAAATTGGGTAAGTCAATATGATATAATAAGTTTGGTACAATGTCTGATTTTCAGCTTAAAATTGAATCTTAATTTACAATAAAAAACAATACAAATATTTATTACTACTTTTATGATCTTTGAAAATCTTAATTTTTTTGTTTGTTTAGGGTTGCATGAATTTGATTCTCTTAAAAATCCTGAAGTAAATTATTTTCGATGGAGGATGAGAGGTCTAGGAGAAGAAGTATCACGCTGTCGATCGAATAAAGGTTGGTTAGAGAGATTGTGTGTTCAGTTTCCTCCACGTATTGATCCTCGGTTATACCATTCTGTTACCGGAAAATTGAAGGATGGAAACATTTTCATATATGTTAAATACCAAAATTTCGATGTAAGTATCTTTTTAGGATACAATTTTTTTTTAAATAGTAATTAGTGTAATAAGAATTCTTAACAAAATGTGTTTCTAAAAGTAATGTTTCCTTTGTATTTAAGATCATTCTGTAAGTAAAATAATCTGTATTGATCATTCCCTTCTCCAGTTCCAAAATTTCTTGATTGACTATTTTAAATGTTCTTTACTAAGCCTGAATGCCTGAATGGATATGTAAATGATTTTTCTAATAGATTATGACAATTCTTTAAAATCAATCTACCTACAATATCTATGTTGTTGACTCCATATTTTATCTATCTTTTGCCTATTTTCACATCAATTTTTCCTTCCTTTAAATGCAAGATAAAATGAATGTTTTAAATTAATGGACTACTCAAAATATATTAAATATTGGTAAATCGAAGATGTTTCAGTTGTGTTTGGTTTTAGTTTCCTCATCTAAACACTACCTTCAGAATTCAACAGTAGACCAGCAAATCTTACATACCTTCTTCTTTCATTCAAAGCACTATTCTCATCCCTTTTGGAAAAATTCAAAATTTCTAATTCTATTGCTATCCTTGATTATTTTCAGTTAGTATGATGTTTCCTTGCTCCAAGACATCTGATAGTTCCTTGTTTCATCTTTCGTTTTTGCTCAGTTTAAAGTAAATTTATTCAAGATATTCAGTAAATGAAGAGGCTGGAACTGTTGATGAATAGCTTTGTCAGATTTACCTTATAATTTCTTGTTAAATTCGGTATAGTAACTTTGATTTTATAAGTGTTCGTAGGCAGATATGGAGTGGCCTCATTATTCCTTTTGCAGATAGATTATTTCCCAGGATCTTTCTTCCACTGATCTGTTTTTACTTTTGGTTATCAAACTCTTGCAGGCTAAGTTTTATCTGTTCTTCAGAAACAACTACTTAATCTAAATCTTACTTCCAGATTTTGTTCTAAATGACCGTAGATTATGATTGTTCCTTCTTAACCCACTTTTTAATTTAATGGAATAATCTACTTTGAACATTGTTGAGGTTACTCCTTATGGATCTTCACATCTCTCTCTCCAACTCCTCTCCTTCCAAATATGTAATATTTTATTGAGCCTCAAACTCTGAATGAAGTATTTTTTCATTCGTTGAATATGAGTTTAAATAGTATTGGGACACAAAACGATAATGATAATTTGTTTATTTAGCAAGTGTTAAGGATTACAAACTGCTTTAAAAATCAATAAATTGGATCATTTATTAGAGTTAGTTGTGTTTATAAGATCTTGTCTGTTCAAGTGATCTAAAATGTAATCAAAATGAAAAAGTCATAAATGAATAGTTGTAAAATAATTCTTCTATTATATAAAAATAAATTTAATTAATTGAATAATGGTATTTTAAAAGTAATTATAAATAAAAGAAAAAAGACTACTAATAAAATTGATGCTAGTATGTTATGTTTATGTACATAAACATGTTAAACTGTTTGTAGGAACGATTACAGTGGGGGTCATACACCATTTGAATTCTGGAGTCCACAGGCTAGGCTTAGCTGTTGCCATGGCATGTTTTGACCCGAGTTTGATAGATCAGGCTGTAGAGCTTTTTTGGGTCCTTATGTTTATGTTTGAACACCCGAGGAATGAATGTGACCTTGGTCTAGACAGCCATAATCAGCTACAAAATTAAATAAACAGTCTACGTACTAAACTGAGTTTTAAGACTGTTAATTTAAGAATTATAGTAACGTTTTTTTCTCTATCCATCTAAAAATATCGTCGATACAAATGCTAACTATCGAATATGAAAAAATTTTAATCCTGGACTCTAGCGATTGTAATAATTCACATATTATTGTGGAAATGAAAACTGAGTTTAGGCTGAATTGATAATGATATTAGAGTTGTGATTTTCACATTTGATAAAAACACCATTTTTCCCATAGTTTTTTTTGTATTCTGTTAATTTTTGATGAAAATCTTTTGTTCATTTAATTTTCAATTATTGGTTTACTTTTAGACTTCAATGTTTATGAAGTTTTGTAGACTTTGTAAAAGATAATTTATGAGAATGGATGGTTAAAGGACATTAAAGTGAACTATTTACATATACTTTCTGTCTCAATTAAATGATAGTTGTTTTGTTTTCATTCAATTATTTATTCTGAATGTTTATTTAATTTTCAGTCAACTTTTAAATTTAATGTTCCTCATTCAATGTCACCTACTGAGTTGATGTGTGAAGTACTGAAGAAGAAAGCTCTAAAACATCAGTCTAGAGGAGATCATATTGGAGATTTTGTATTTAAAGTCCGTGGCCAAGAAGAATACCTAGTTGGAAATGTGCCCCTTGTTGAATTTGTGTATATTCAAGAATCCCTTATGAAAGATGTACATCCTACGCTTATTGTTGTTAGTGTTAAAAATGTGCCAGGTATCTATGTCTATTTAATTTCTCAATATCATTAATATATTTTTTAATCTCTTCTTTCCTGAATTCCCCATTTTTCAAATTCTTTCCTCGTTTTTTTCTTAAATTCCATTTCACTTAAAACAAAAGTAATAAACATACGATACAAACCTCATCTCATACTAACTTTTGCTTGATCTGAATTATAGTAACACCCAGTGCCACTAAAAAACGAGTGTGCTAGTGTTTTACCTGATCTGAATTATAGTAATTACAAGTTCCACTTTTGGAAACCATTTTAAAGATCAAACTCATGAGTTTGCATATCTTTACTTACATTACTTCGTGCGGCTCTGCAACATGTTACCATACCTAGACCTTCTCGATAAGCAACCGCCTAGAATATGTGTGAAGCCGCTACCAGTTGCAGACTCCTAAACTCCATTTGTTCCTAGCCACACAGTCAATCCCGAGAAACCTTTTTGACTTCTTTGTCCATGTATGACCTTCAAAAGCAGTTTCCTTGTTATCGGCAATTCCTGTTTCAAAAACAGTCAAATACCTGCTAACCTTTTGACATTATACATTTATTTCATGCCAATTATCATCAAATGATATTGCTGTTCTTGGCTAGGCATATTATAAGAATATCCTACTTTCGATGCCACTCAATGCATCTATTTTTTTTTATCATGGGTGGTAAATATTCAGGACGCGGTCTTTTTTAAATTTTTTATTTTTGCCAACGTTTCAACCCAAACATGTGGGTCATCTTCAGGGCTGAAAATGTTTTTTTTTTTAATTACAATCAGAGATATAATAGTATAAGACCGCTAATTATAAATAATAAACTATAGTGATTGATGGCACATGAATCTTAACTAATATTGTAATACACATATTAAAATAGTTACTATTTTAATAAATACAAATATAAATACTATAAATACAAACTAAAAATAAAAAATAATGTATATAATCCATTTATATAAATTTGTAATATTTTCTCTTACTAATCGTGGTTTGAGCACTGAGGTTGTTCATGTACTGACACTTGTTTGGTAGGTAAGTAAAAGGTCAGGGGAGGGGGAGGATTTCCCACTTGTCCTTTTTTTTTTTTTTAGATAGCAAAAGATAAGTAAACAAGGTTAGAGGGGAAGGGAGGGTAACATATGTTGTTTGTAGGATGTACATAATTTGCTAACAAATATTTCAGACGTGTACAATATTTGAGTTATTTCATATGGTTACAGAAATGTGACTATTGACTAGTATTAAAATAAACATAAGCAAAAGGTGCCAATTAATATAAATATAGCTTAGTTTGATAGCAAGTATACAAGGGTTAGTATACAAGGGTTAGGTGAATAATTCACCAATTGTAGATCACCAACCATCTACAACACCCATCTTCAATACCATCCCCTTTTTCATCACAATTTCAAAAAGACCTTTCCTCTACTCGCTCCTTTTTAAATTCCCACAACGAAATCATTGTCACTCGCGCGGACAGAGGGAATAAAACTGTCGTTATGGACCACACCGACTACAATGACAAATTATTTGCACTCCTCTCCGACCAAACCACTTATCTCTCCACAAAACGTGACCCCACACCATCTCTCACAACCAAATTCAACCAACACCTAAAACACCTTCTTGATACCAAACAAATTTAAGTTCCTACCTATAGAAATCTAATCTCTTATAATTCCACTGCTCCCCGCTGCTATGGCTTACCAAAAATCCACAAACCAGGCAATCCTCTCCGACCTATTATTTCCAACATTAACTCTCCATCTTCTAAACTCAGTAAATTTCTTCTCCCTGCCATCCAGTCTCTCAGTCAAAATAATCCATATGATATTAAAAATTCTTTCCACCTATTAGAACAACTGAAATCCTTAAACATACCACCACATTTTATTTTGGCCTCCATTGATGCAGAAAGTCTCTTCACCAATATTTCCACAGACCGTGCTCTTCAAATAATTGAAGAAAATTGGTCCACCATAGAACCACACACTTCCCTCAATCAATCCTCATTCCTTCAGTCCCTCTCTCTATGTTGTAACTTCGACTACCTATGTTTTCAAAACAATTTTTTCCATCTAACTTCCGGCTTGGCGATGGGTAATTGCCTTGCACCAGACCTCTCTAGTATTGTTCTTAACAATCTCATTGATTCAATACTACCTAAATTTCCTAAGGATATATTTTTCATTAAAAAATATGTTGATGACCTTTTATTAATCCTCAACCCCCACACTATTCCAAACATACTTTCTGCATTCAACTCATACCACCCTCTTTACCATTGAAATAGAATCAAATAATTCCCTCCCATTTCTTGACCTCCTCATTTCCAGAAATAATGATAACACCTTATCCACCAATTGGTACACCAAACCTACCTACTCAGGCCGTCTCCTAAACTATTTTTCCCTACACCCTTACCACCAAAAAATCAGTGTAGCTAAAAACCTGATACACCGCAGTTTTACATTAACCGTTACATTATAGATCCATTCCATACATCCCTATCCTATCTCAAAAAATCAAAAAAGGAATTCGACTGACAGACTCCTTTAGACACTCTGTAAGTATAGTTATTTGGAATCTTCAAAAAATAGGAAGGACATTTGAAAAGTTTTTAAAAACTGTAGCAAATGAGAAAGTTGCTAAATTAAAAGTTTCAAGTTATCTTGCCGAAAATAATGTTGCTTACTTCCAAGGCTTGAAAAACATAACATCTAAATTTCTTAAAATTAAAACATTAATAGCTAAATGGGCGAGATAGAAATTTGTAAAATATGTTTTGTTATTATTTTAAAAATTACTTCTCATTTTCAAAATGTACTTTGTTTCAGTTGACACTCAAAACTTCTGTGATAGCTTAGACTATGCTGATGATAAAAGAGTCAGATCTTCTTTTTCTACTTTGACCTCTAGGAAGAGGAAATTGATCTCATCTTGGAATATTGATGATCCTTTTGCTTTTCAAGTTACTGCTATTTGCCGATTGAATTGTGATTCTACTCGAACTGTTGAGGTAGCATTTTAAATATGATAGAAATATTTTATAATTTCTTTCTTTTAAAAAAAATCCTTTTTTTTTTAAGAGAGTGATAAAAACTTATTAGCTCTTATGTGTTGTAATGATGATCTACATAAAGTTAATTAAGATTTGTTCATTTTTTTCTTTGCAAACAATATAAGTGCTGTTCCTTAATATCCTAAATTGATGAGAACTATTTAGTTTATTATTTGTCATTATATTTATACATTTTGTTTTTATTTATTTTATTTTCCGGTTGAGACTACATATGATGAAGACGTTTAGCTGTGCGATGTGGTATTTTTACAGACATTGATAACTTGCGGGAGGACTGATAGCCTGAAGAGGTCACCCAGCCTCACTTTGTTCTGAGCCATGGTTTACATGGTGCAGCAGCCGGCTACTCATAGCCTGTCCCTTAGGGCCATTTTGGCAGTGCCTTTCCCTCCGATGTTATTCAAACACTCTGGTTCAAGGCGAATGACAAATTGGTCGAGATTCATCAATAATGATTGTTCGGGGTTATTTTTTCTTCAAGACAACTATCTATGGACCGAACTTTAGCAAGAGGAATTAATATATTTGAAGTTTATTTTCTTTATTACACCTAGAGGTATAATTTATTTTTCTTTTAATTGTAAATTCATTTTTCTTAGTTCATTTTTTACCGAATAAATAGATTTAAATAGATTTATTTAATTCAATTTTACCCCATTTCAAGAAAAAAGTGCCAAGTTAGGAAAATGTTAAAACATTAAGAAAAAAATAAATGAATCTATCTTAATGTTACTCCTAATCGTTATAACTGATCCTTGTGGGTTTGTCTCTGAAATTACAAACTCTGCTCATAGGTCTTTAGCCCTTAACTTCCAAATGATCACCTTAATCGCAATCAAGGTGGTCCTAAAAAACCATTTTCTAATTCCTAATTAGAACATAATTAACTGTGTTGGATTAAGGGTGACACGTACAAATTACTCAATAATTATCCCTATTTGATTATTTATTGTGTTATCAATTTAATTGTTATTTTCTTTTATGAATTTAATTGACTCTTAATGTTTTTTTACTTTTAAGGTTGCAATTCAAGCTGGTGTTTTCCATGGAGGTAAGGCTTTGTGTGAACCACAGAAGACTCAGGAAAAGCAGGTAACCAAAGAAGGTGGAGTATGCTGGGAAGAAGATCTGCAGTTTGATGTAAAGGTCTGCAATATTCCCAGAATGGCACGTCTCTGTTTTGTCGTCTATGAAATATCTAAATCAGCACGCGGTTTAAGATCAAGAAAGATCAGGGATTCAAAACAGGTATTGTTATTATCACTAAAATATATGTTAATATTTAATCAGTATTTGAAAAGACAGATATCATTATTTGCATCATACTATATTTACTTTTGGGAGAACTTGAAACCATTATTAAAAGTTTTTGATATTTCTTCCTGAAATTTCAAAAAAATTGTTTGAAAAAAACATTATGTTTACCCATCCTCCTCTCCTTTTCTATTTAACAACTTTGGATTACTGAGATTGCGCTGTGTTAATTTTCAGTCCTAAATGTATATTCAAAAGATTTCGTGATCTCCTTAATTTTTGCTTAATAGTATTTTTTCTTCTATTTTATTTAAAGAAGTATTATTCTGATTCCAATTTTCATTATATTTATTTTCTTTTTTTGTATTGATGTTTTAGCAAATTATGTGCTATGAAATCATTTTGTCCTGTTTCTAGGAGTTATATATCAACCCCATGGGATGGGTAAATACGACTGTGTATGATTTCAAAAACCAACTGAAGACAGGGGCCATGACACTTTATATGTGGACTTATGCTGAAGACATGCAAACTGATGATCTTCTACATTCTCTTGGCACCGTGGTATCTAATACCAATACTGAGAATGCTGCTGCGCTCACGATCACCTTCCATAAGTTTGTATTCAAATCGTAATTAATGTTATAATTGTTATAATTAGTGAAATTTAAAATTTTATTTTGTTTCTATCTAGGTATCATTCGGAGCATACTGTAGTTTACCCTTCAAAAGAAAAAATATTAGAATTTAGCAAAGAAAACGATGTTATTGCTCCTAGAGCTCCTGCCTCCAGGTCTACCATAGAACAGTTGAAGTAATTATCCATTATGTTAAATAATTAATTTTTAATAAATAGAATCAATTAATCATAAATTCACTGAACTAAGCTTTAGTAGCTTTAGTTCACTGAACATTTTACTTTTTAAAATAAATATGGAAATGGGTAGATTCTCTTTTGTTTGAATTTGATGGCCTGCTAAGCTAATACTGACGTATTTCTAATATTGTCTTGATGAGACTTAGTTATTAAGAACTAAGCTATCAGCCTCTTTGGTCCATTAAAGTAGTTAAGGAAACATCTATAGCTGCAAGCTGAAGGTAAAATTTTGCTGGTACTGCCGTTGCAGTTGGAAGTGGACTAATGGCTGTTGATTGCTTAGAGAGAATAGAAGAAAGGATATTTTGATGTAAACCAAATTATGATAAATTGAAAAATTGCTGGATTGAAATAAAGTAACTACAGTATTTATTACTACTATTCTTCACTATCAGCATTTAAGCCTAACATATTCATTTTTCACTATTTTAATTAGAATAATTATTATGATATGAGTTGATTCATGGTTGAGCCATGGTAAGAAGCTTCAATGAAATAAACACACTTATGGTTGTAAGTAACTAGCGAAATTCTACCAAAGAGAGTTTCAAAATTACAAAATTCACTTTGTTACTAAATTTACCTAATTTAAAAAAAAAAAATTGGTATCTTTTAATCAGCGAAAGGAATCTGAAATGGAAGACAAAATTTATTGGTCTTTACTTAAGTAAACAATAAATAGGTAAGGGAAATATAATCTTTATCTACTTTATGATTAATAGGGCCCATTCTGTCCGAGGTTGATATGGAGTATGATTCATTAATTAGTCTTCTGTGTTATAGTTAGAAACTGTAGGAAGGATAGAGAATTTTCCAAAGTTATATAATTAGTTTAGGGTTGAGGTTTAACATGAACGTGTTACGGGAAGTTATGGGTATGTGTTGAAAAACTAAGCTTTGAGTTAGTTTTTGGTTCGGCCGATATGCGAGGAATTACAATTATGATTTTAGCAACGAATCCTGTAAACTATATTTGAGTGATGGTCGAGGGTGATTGGTTATATTAAGTCCGTAAAAAGGTGAGAAAGTTTTTTTGAGTGGAACTTCAAGATAGGAGTAGTGGATTTTCAGAATTTCTTTGTGTTGTCTGAGAGAAGGTACTTGGTTTTGCGAGAAAATCTGGTAGGGGTTAGTCAAATTTTTAACACTGCTTTAGAAGTTGTAAGAAACTTAGACCGAAGAAACAAGCACCTCAAAGAAGCTAAAATATATTCCAGTCCGTAATTATTTATTCTGATTCTTATCTTATGTTTTTATTCATTGTAAGATATTTAAATCCCTTAACTTCTTTAAGGCTTCTATAATATACAAGCCTTTCCTTATATTTCTTTTTTCTATATTTACTTCTAGAAACCTAACTGGAAGGGATCCCCTCCATGAAATGCACGAACAGGAAAGGAAGGCACTTTGGTCTATCAGGTATGATGTTTTAAGGTTGGAACCTTCATTGTTACCAAAGCTTTTGGACTGTGTTGAGTGGAATGATCACCATGAGGTACTAACAGAAAATTATTTATTTTATTTATTTTTGCTAGTATTTCTTCTCTTAATCAAATAAACTATTAGTTCATGAATATTGAAAAATTACTATGTCAGGTCAGTGAAGCAATGGCATTGTTAAACAAATGGCCACTTCTTCCACCAGAAAGAGCATTGGAACTTCTTGATTATGCTTATGCAGACCAATCTGTGAGAAGTTATGCTGTAAAGTGTTTATCAAAAGTTTCGTAAGTGCAAAATTTTTAATTTTTAAGAGAACATTTTAATCTAAGGGTCATAACAATTTTTTTTTTTAGAACTTATCTTTAATTAAAAAAATAAAATGAAAATAGACCACTAAGTAGTCAGTAAAATAAGTAAAGTAAGAGTTTTTCTCTTTCTCTCTCCCTTTACAGATATATATATTGTAACGTTCCTCTTTCCCTCCAAAATCAAACGAGTTTCCTTTTTCAATATACTATTTATTTTAACACATAACATTAATTCTCAGGTTGGGTTCTGACAATTGAACACTCATTCAACATTAAATAACTATAATCTACACTAATTTACTAATTACTAACTACACTTATATATAATTTAAAATATTTTATAAAATAATTTGTCCCGGTCTAAACTTTTGGTTCTATCCCTTTGTCAACATAAATGGCATTGTTAGCACTCACCCAAATGTTTACGCCTGTCAGCGAAATAATCTCTTCTTACTTACGAATGTCCCGTTTTCTGTACCACTTAATTCTTTTCTTCCAACATAAAATAATCTCCACTAGTGGCCTCAATCAACACTCGAACCGGCTAGGACTCCTCTTTCACTTTCTCAGCTTGCTGGCTAGCACTGTCTCACTTGGCAGCTCGTCACCTTCTCTCTTGACAGCTTGTCACATTCTGCCTTGGTGGCTCATAACCTCCCCTCTTGGCGGCCGGTCACATTCTGAGTTACATGAGGCTTGCTTCCCCCACCGTCCGCACGCACTTTCTCCCCGTAGTTCGTGCTGTTACCTCTTTCGCGCCACTATTTAAATATATATATATATATTAATACATATATATATATATATATATATATATATATATATATATATATATATATATATATATATATATATATATATATATACATATTAATATATATATTAATATATATATATTAATATATATATATATATATATATTGTAATGTCAACGTGGCGCGAAAGAGGTAACAGCACGAACTACGGGGAGAAAGTGCGTGCGGACGGTGGGGGAAGCAAGCCTCATGTAACTATATATATATATATATATATATATATATATATATATATATATATAGTATATATATACTATATATATATATATATATATATATATATATATATATATAGTATATATATACTATATATATATATATATATATTCACTTAAACTAATATACTCACTTAAACTATTGTCCAAGTGACAGAATATTATATTGCTCAAAAGTAAATAATAAAAAAAAATATTTGGGAAATATTATCTAATATTTAGGTTATTAAATGCAAAATTAACAAATATAATTAAGAGAAACTGTTCTATTAAAATTACTTAACAGCAGAGGCTACGGCCTGTGATATAAATTATCACTATTGTTTTTCTTTGCCTGCAATACCTGGAGTATCGTTGAACTCTTCTATAACTGCTGTTTCCAACTTTTCAAATGTACTAGAAATGGAATTCTGGTTTCACACATGGAGTTTATACCAAACCCAAACATGCTTTATTGGCAACTCCAAAAACAAGATATAGCGGATCTGAGATGAGTTTGCGGGTGAGTAAAGGGGGAGAGAGATGCACAGTGACAAAACATTCTTCCCCTCCTCTCCCTCCCCGATCCCACATTCTTCAAAATCCCCAGTCTTCTCTACTCATTCGTCCGTACTTCATCAATGTTTTTACAATCAGAAATTTCTTTTATCAATTTTCTTATCATTTATTTTACCAATTTTCGTTTACAATGTTAAATAAACTGGTTAGAGAGAAAACTATCCACTCTCAGACCAAAAACATAAATTCATGATAGGGTTTCGGGGAGGTGGATCTTGAGTGGAGGAAGGCTGCGCTAGCTCCCTTCTCCTACACACAAACTCATCTTAGACCCACTGTACCAACATCCTTCACATTTTCAACTGCACTCTGAGCTCAAAGTGGTCATTATTTTCATGCTTCATCAATAAACTGTTTCTAATATAGGTTGAGTTAATGGCCCTCAGAAATGAGTATTTCACTTACCTTTGAGTATTTAAGGACTTGCTTAAAAAGATTTGTTTTTGTTTTTTGTTTATCCTTTTGAAATTCCTCATACAAATTTATTGGTGTGTTTAAAAGAACATTATAATAAATGAGAACACACTGAATAAAAATGGATGATAATTGTAGTTTCTCAATAGTAGAAATACCATTGATACATTTTTTACTAAAACTATAATTTTACAACTTCAATTTAAAATTATATTAATGCATTAAGAATTTTAAATAATTATTCAAGCAGATTAGGTTTACTCCAATAATTTATAAAATTTACTTTATTAGATATTTAATGTTAGTATTGTTTAATGAAGAGTGTATTGTTTTTAGGGACGATGATCTTTCTTTGTATCTTCTACAACTGGTCCAAGCTTTGAAGCATGAATGCTACTTGTACTGTGATCTTGTCGAGTTTCTGTTACGAAGAGCTCTCTGTAATCAAAAAATTGGTCACTTCTTATTTTGGCATCTCAGGTGAGTTAAGGTTAATGATAATATTAATAAAAGGACTAGCGAACATGTAAGTTCGATACTGATAGCACCAATCACCTTGTACACACCTTCCTCAACCAACTACCTTCTAAACCCTGACTTGTCAGATCAGCCTGAATGCAATCTTCCCACCTTTGCTTCGGTCCATCCTTCGGACATTTATCAGTCAGCACAAAATTGACTTAAAGTTAATAATGTTTATATATGTATGTATATCTAGTTTTCTAATTATTATTCTTATCAGAGTCTAGAAAACTTTATCTTTAAAATATTTTTTTAAACAAGTGAAAAAGTTTTTGAAAGAAATGATGATTTTTAAAAAAAGTCCTCGCCATATTACATAAAAAATCAAATCCTTAAAGTGCCAGTAATTAATGTTATTGATTACAGTAATAATTTAGCTTTGATTTTTTTTTTTTTTTTTTCAATTTCTTCACTACCAAAGTTAAAGAAGCTATTCTCAGAATTGAAAATTTCCAAATGCGTTTTAGGTTTTTGATATCAGAAACAAAGTTAGTTCTATATCTGTCTGTAGTCAGATCCATTTGATGGCCATATCATCTACTACTATTTAACTGATTTTGATGATTTTTTAAGGTATTGTTTCGGTCAGTGTATAGAAGCTTATATCCAAATCTAATTCATACAATTTTATTTTCAGTGATACATCTATATTTCAAAAAAGGCTCCTTGAATTCGATCCAAAGTTGGGAGAAAGTAGTCTAAAATAGGATTTATGTAAAATCAATACAGTATTAATTTTTTCAAATTCCATCCCCTACTTTTGTTCATTTATGTTCCTTAATTCATTTATATTGAAAATATGGATCGCTCGATTTTTGCCTTAAGTTTATGGTACTTTTGGGGTATAGTGTACAAATTGTGCAGTTCTAATTTGATCAAATTCCATTTAACAATTAAAATTAATGTAATTGTTATGAATATATTGGATATGAAATTTGGTAGGCAGTTAACACATGATAATGCAGGTTATATAACATTTTAAACAAGTCTTTCTATAGTTGAATGTATAAAATGATTATAACACGTGCCAACATTAATTCAATTTGGTGTAAGTTCAAAGATTGAGAGGGTTGATATCTAGACGGTCCAATATACATCTTATTAAATTTCATTCTCTTCTTTTGCTTAGGTATGTGTTTTTCTTTGGCAAGGATATACTTATAAAACGTCTCCTTATATTTTATTTTCAAATGGCAAATCTCATACCTTGAAATATAAGTAGTTATGTACTTACCCTATTTGACAAGCATTTTTGTGTTAAAAACAATTTATTCATAATGAATATATTTTTGAAGTACTTATTTGTTTTTTTTTAGGTCTGAAATGCATGTAGCATCAATTTATTTCTTTTCTTTTTTAAGGCCTGAAATGCATGTAGCATCAGTTTATTAATTTTTTTTTTAGGTCTGAAATGCATGTAGCATCGGTTTGGGTTCGTTTTGGATTGGTCCTCGAGGCATACTGTCGCAGTGCCCTGGATGGTCATATTGGCTCCCTCTCGAGGCAGGTCGAGCTCGTGACTAAGTTAAAGTCAGTGTCTGAGGCAGTGAGGAGTAGGAAGGACAAACCAAAGCTCACATTGCAAGACAGTTTGAAGGAAGAACATGTTATGGACACTGTAGCCGGGGTTCTCAATCCTCTCGATCCTTCTTATCGGTGTCGCAATGTCAGGTAAAGTTGACTAACTATAATGTTTTTGATTAAGTTTGTCAAATATAAATTATAGTGACTTATGAAATGTTATTACCCGACTAAGCGAAGAGTTATGAGAGTTATGTGTTAGGGTTGTCCGCCAAAAGCTATGTAACACTTTTGAGTGAACGCCTGAATCGAATTATAAGTCTGATGGTTCAAATTATTAGGTGAGATCCACTGAGTGTTTTGAAACAATTTGAGCTAAAATTACTGGCCCATTACTAAATAAAATGTTTTTAATCAATTTGCTGAAAGTTATGTAATGATTTTTCAGCTAATGGGTGGATCAATTTTTAAGTTTGACATCATTAATTATTAGGTGATATCCACTCAGTAGTTTGAAAGGAAAGTGAAGCACTCGAGTGTTCTGGTTGTTCGCTAAAAGGTATGTAACTATTTTTAAGCAAACGGGATCAGTTTAATTAAAAGTTTAATAATAATAATAATAATAAGGCTTAGCGAACCCGAAGGTTCGATGCCGACACCACCAATCGCTTGTTACACACCTCCCTCCACCGTTCGCCGTCCAAACCCAGTCCCTTCAGATCAGCTTTAATGCAATCTTCCCACCTTCGCTTCGGTCTACCCCTCCGACGCTTACCATTCGGCACAGCAAATATTAACCTTTTAGGAATTCTCTCGTTACTAAGCCCAACAACTTTACAAGCCCATTTGATTCGCCGCGATGAAATTACCTCAATTATATTACACGGATATAGCTCACGCAATTCGGCGTTGTGTAACCGTCTGAACTCTCCGGTTAACTCATCCTTCTTCGGTCCGAATATTCTACGCAATACTTTATTTTCAAAAACCTTAAGACGCTGCTCATCCCTTAATGTAAGCGGCCAAGTTTCGCATCCATAAAGAACTGTAGGCAAGATAATTGTTTTATAGATTCTAATTTTTAAGTTTCGGGACAAGAGGCGCGAACTGAGTAGTTTTGTCACAGAAAAATAACAAGCATTCCCCGCCTTCAGTCTAACTTTAATCTCTTCTTCAATTTCGTTTTTTCTAGTTATCGTAGAACCTAGATACCTAAATTTATCTACCTGTTCAAACATATTACCATCTATATCGATATCACCAGTAGTATCGCCATTTTTGCAGCTAACCATATATTTTGTTTTATCCACGTTTATTTCGAGTCCTAGTTCTTTACCGGCTTTCATTAACGTTGTCGTATTTAGTTTTATAGTTTCAACGTCTTCGCTTAACAGTACCAGATCATCAGCATAGCCCAGCACGGATGTTGTCCCGCCCAGATCCAACCCTTTCTCGGTACGCATTACCTCCCTAATGGCATGTTCTAATGCCAAATTGAACAGGACAGGCGAAAGAGAATCCCCCTGTTTTAAGCCCGAACGAACCTCAAATTTTTCGGACAAATTATTACCGATTCTAACTTTATTGAGTGTCTCCGTCAAGCACATCCTGACTAGATTTACTAGTTTTTTTGGAATTCCCTGCTCGATTAGAATATTATACAGTTTCTGGCGGTCAATAGAATCGTAAGCCTTTTTAAAATCTATATACAGCTGGTGAACAATACCGTTATACTCCAATTTTTTCTCTAATATTTGCCGTAAAGAAAATATTTGATCAATAGTCGAACGATTCCGTCTAAATCCGCATTGGTAGTCTCCGATAATTTCCTCGGCGTATTCCGTGATTCGACTGGTTAAGATTACAGTGAATATTTTATAACATACCGGAAGGAGTGAAATTCCTCGATAGTTATTACAATCCGTCCTCGGACCCTTTTTGTGAATCGGAATAAGAATAGATTCTTTCCATTCTTCAGGTAATTTCTCGTTCACCCAGATCTTTTCAACCAAGCGATGTATTTTAGAAACTCCAGCTTCCCCGCATGCCTTAATTAGTTCAGTAGGAATATTATCGATTCCCGCTGCTTTATATGATTTTAATTTACCGATAGCTACTTCAACTTCCTCTTTACTTGGTCCTTCTATCAACGGTTCAGCACTCTGGTACTCAGAAGGAGGACACAGATCATAATTTCCCGTATTTAAAATATTGTCAAAGTGGTCCTTAAACTTATTCAATATGTCAACCGGATCGGTCAGAATATTGTTATTATCATCCCTAATTCCAGACGTTACGGGCCCTACATATTTACGTGATCTGTTTATACCTTTGTACATGTCTCTTACGTTATTTTCGATTCTATTAGTTTCTATTTCAATTATTTTATTTTTGAGATACTCCCTTTTTTTATTTTTGAGCAATTTTGTCGTTTCGTTCTTTGAGATTCGGAAGTATTCCAGATTGTCTTCGCTAGGATTATTTAGAGCTTTTAATTTAGCGGCTTTCCTTTTTTCGCACATGTTTAAGCAATCTTCATCAAACCACGGTTTGTTATTCTTATTTTCCTTTTTTCCTAGACACGAGTTACCGACCGCTTTAATATTATCCCTGATCTCTACCCATAACTTGTCAATATCATCGTGGTCCTCGTCAGGAAGCTCTAAAGCTTCAAACCTATTCTTAACATCTAGCTCGAATTGGTTTCTAATTGATGGATTTTTTAATTTTTCCAAATTAAAATTCTCAAAATCGAAACGGTTTTCTTTTCTCTTTTTTATATTAAGTTTTTGTCGAAGTTTCGCGATTACTAATTCATGATCCGACCCACATTCTGCTCCGCGATAAGACCGTACATTGATTATACTGCTTTGCCAGCTGTGTTGTATCAAGACATGATCGATTTGATTTCGTGTTTGCGAATCCGGCGATGTCCAAGTATATTTATGAATATCCTTACGTTTGAACGTCGTACTTTTAATTACCAGGTTTTTCGAGATGGCAAAGTTTATCAGACGGATCCCATTATCATTACTATATTCGTGCAAACTTTCTTTACCAATCGTCTGAATATAAACTTCTTCCCTTCCTACCTTTGCGTTCGCGTCACCTACAATTATTTTCATGTAGTTTCGCGGTAGTTTATCATAAACCCATTCGAGTTTATCGTAAAATTCACTTTTGACTTCATCGTCACTGTCTTCGGTCGGACAATGTATGTTTATTAATGCGATTTTAAACCAACGTCCCTGAAATGTAGCTACCGAAATTCTATCACTAAAGAATTGTACGTCCCTCAAAGCGGATAGTAATCTACTCCTAATTAGAAACCCGGTACCTAAACAATGATTCCCGCTTCCTCCGTACCAAATAGTGTACTTTCCTTCCCTCATCGAGCCCTCCCCTGGCCAGCGAACCTCTTGCAGAGCCACGACATCCAAATTGTACCCATTTACCTCATTCGCGACCGATTTTAGCCCCCCTGCTGTGTTTAAACTCCTTACGTTCCACGTACCAATATTTAAATCCCTATATTTCAACTTGCGGCATGAATCCCCTAAAGCAGTCCCCACCCGGAGACCCGAACGGGGGACTAGTTTACCTCCGGATAATGAGCGTTTTACCTTAGGGAGATCCATGACTTTTTGTGGTGTTTGGTGAACTAAAGATATGTGAGTAGGGCGTTCAATCCTACGTCACACCCTCCAGCAAGTCTGGTGGGCCCCTACCTCCAGCAAGTCTGGAGGTCCCCTCCCTCCAGCAAGTCTGGAGGGCCCCTCTCATTGTTGGTCAGCGAGTCCATCGGACTTAGCCGGGAGGAACTTCCAAGGAATTTCCACCGACCATCCCCACATCCGCCACCCGTGGGACGCTCCCCATACGCGGTAATGAGCCCGCGCGAGGAATTAAAAGTTTAATGCTTCAAAATATACATTGAGATCCCATGAGTGTTTTAAAACAAGTTTAACTCAAAACACTGATCCATGATTTGATTAAAATGCGTGTAATCAATTTGCTAAAAAGTATGTAACAATTTTTTGAGCAAATGACTGGAGCGATTTTCAAGTTTGATATGTTAAATTATTAGGTGAGGTCTTGTGAGTGTTTTGAAACAATTTGAGCTAAAAACATTGGCCCTTGATTGAATAAAATGTGCTTAATCAATTTTCTAAAAGATATATAACAATTTTTTGAGCAAGCGGCTGGACTGATTTTTAAGTTTGATATCTTAAATTATTCGGTGAAATTCTGTGAGTGTTTTCAAAGAACTTGAGCTAAATATTCTGGCAAATTACTGTGTAAAATGTGTTTAATCACTCCTGCTTAAAGGTACGTAACGATTTTTTTTGAGTGGATCGCATGACCGATTTATAACTTTAACAGCTGTAGTTGCTCTGTGAGATCTCGTGAATGTTTTGAAACAGATTGAGCATAAAATACTGAAAGGGATTTTTATTATAGTTTAAATATCTCGATTTTTAATTGATTTGAAATGATATCATGTTATGAAAATAAATTGTTAATATTTTAAAAAATAAAAATGTTAAATTACAATACTATTTGAATTAAAAAAAAATCCTACTACAAAAATTGGGAAATTCTATCCATCTTAAGGAAATGTTGTTCCATATCTACTCAAACATCTTGGTAGATTGATAGCGAAATTGACATCTAGGAATATTCAAACTTGATGTGGTTGTCTGGTACTTAATACCCTGAACGAAATTTCAACTCATATATATGGGATCTTTAAATTCTATTTGCCTAGAGCCGTAATGTGTAGTGAAAGGCACTCGACCATTACACTAAGTTTAAATATTTGTAGATATAATTTTTTGTATCAATCTACCAACATATTGAAATAGATATGGAAGCTCATTCCCCTTGGATGAATAGAATTTTCCAATTTCTGTAGTCGATTTTTTAAATTTAAATATTTTTTTATTTTAATTATGAGCTTAAATAGTTAAATATTTCAATTGAATCAGTGATGAAATTTAAAAAAATATAATTTGATGATATCAAACCAGTGATTTTTGTAGAAATACCATAAATCTTTTCTTTGTCTGATCAGTTCTGTTTATAAATAAAATAAACCATATTGCTGTTTTATAAGTAGAAAATATAGGAGCTGCAAATATGTACACTTTTATTTACTCATTTATTAGATTATTGTTTCTTGTATTCGGCTGAACTTGCCATTGTAATCATTGAATAAAATAAGTTTTGAATGGCTTATTGCATTGAATGTCTTAAATTTAAAAATTAACTATTATTCTTTATCAGTCTCAACATGACTGGAGTTTTAATTTTTGATTTTTTATGATCTTTTAGAACTAGATTTTTTTATAAAAGTTATGTTAGAGCACTCCATTTCAACATAAAATAATCTAAAAAATGTTAATTTTACAGGACATTTTTAGCTACTAAAAGGAAATACAATAATTAAGCAATTCATTTAAGAAAAACTACATCTGAAATTTAAATCCAATTATGATTTTATTTCTCATTCAATGGAACTTATTTAAAAATAAATGAAAGTTAAACCTTCTAGATAAACACACAACTTTATTGTACCAAAAATTCTTTGAACCTTTATTCAAAAACATTTCTTTGAAACTGTTAAAATGGGATATTTTTAAAAAGAATCTATGGTCAGATTAACAATGAGCCTTAGTACAGTTCTGTGTCTTATGTTATTTAAACAATTTACTTATAAAAAAAAAAAAAAAAGTGTTCCTTCAATTTATACTTATAAATAGAATATTTACATAAAATAAACAAACAGAAAAAAAGTAAAATAATTTATCTGACCCTGAAATAAGTTTACTTATTCAAAAATATTATAATATAAAAGGTATATATTGTTATAGAATATTATAACGATATAATGTTATAGAATATCATAATAAGCGTATTCAAGAATAACCAAGAATATGTCTGAATATCTTAAGAGTAATCCCAGAACTTCCAAGATTAGCCGGAAATATGTCCGAATATCCAAGAATCATAACGGTATATCCTAGAAACAGTACAATATTGGAGACAATAAGAGTTTTTCCTTAATAAATGTTCTTGTGCTCCAAGAAGAAGCAAGTGCTTTCTTAGACATTCACAATCGTAATTATTGACATCACAGAGTCTACAAATATAGTCCATAATGCAATATGAAAAACAAATGTTTTGTGATTAACATCTGTTTAGTAAATTAAGTTTCTTTTCTATATTTTTTTTTAGGATTGAGAAGTGTCGTGTTATGGACAGTAAAATGAAACCTTTGTGGGTAGTACTGGAAAATGACGATGTCTTTGGAGATGATATCTATATAATCTTTAAGAATGGAGATGATCTCCGTCAAGATATGCTAACCCTTCAGATGATAAGGATAATGGATAGGATTTGGAAAAATGAAGGTCTTGATCTGAGGTAGTTCTTTATATAAAGCAGTTTATCTTTTTATATTTTAGAGATATGTATATATGATAGCTTTGAACCATCTGCTGAACGCTAAGGTTCTTAGGATATCATACAACTTTTTTTTTGTTAGTACTTAAGGATAAATTAATTTATAGTAAATAGTAATAATATTGTTCATTAATCCAATTATGGTGTTGATGATTTAGTAATATATGATTAGGTAGGTGATTTGGAAAAATGATTGGAAAAGTTCTTTATAGTTTTTGTATTTTCTTTAATTCAAAAGTCTTATAAAAATTTATATTTTATCAAGTGGTGTGTGGGTCACTTAGTAAATTCAATAATTATACCTGGCTTGAAATTGTAGAAAATCCATTTGGTCAAATGTTGAAAACTAAAAATTAAGGCTCTGGTGGTTATGTTTGGTTGACCCCTATGCACATTATTTATGGTAGTAGCACATTCGGTGGTGGCCTGCTGTTAAAAAGTTGCCTAGTTGGGGTTAAAAAAGAATATATATATAAATGTAGAGTTTACATTTTGAGGAATTATAAAGTGTTATTTTATATTATTTTTTATGTTTTTAGAATGAATCCATATGGATGCATTTCTACTGATAATCGTGTTGGCCTAATTGAAGTTGTTTTAAATGCTGAAACAATAGCCAACATACAAAAGGAAAAAGGGATGTTCACAGCTACTTCAGCATTTCGAAAGGGGTCTCTTCTAGGTAAGACTTAAGTGAATTTGTTGTAATAATATTTTAATTTTTGAATTTGTGTATTATTAGTTCTTTATTTAATATGAGTTCATTAAGTTTAAAATAGTGTAAGGTTGGGTTAACTTAACCGCAAGGCTAAAAACTTGATCTCTAATTTATTGTGGCAATGCATTTAAATTATAATTTGTTGAAATATAGTTGTTCTTGCAAAGGTGGTGATTTCTGTTCCCTTGGAAATGGTTTATTGAACTATTTTATTAAATTCCTTACATTATGGTGCAAATAAGTGTACATTTTCAGGCTCCTGTACTGTGAAGTATATGAAACCTAAACAAAACAGGGGAATAGCTTTAGTTGGACACATTTTTAGCAAATAACTTTTTATTTTTAAAGAATCTGAAATAAACTATTGTTTTGGAAGGATAGAATCCATATCTGGGCTCAGATTTAAAAAAAAAAATCTCTTTCACAAACAATCACTGTTTTGTCAACAATGTTGATATTTTTACCAATTGTTCTTGAATATTTAGATATTTTAGTATTATTTTCACTAGCAAATAGGCATGTTTTGGTATCGTCAAAGTGGATTCTCCAAACCAGATTTTAGATTTTTTTTTTAAAGTCTACATTTTTGACCTATTTACATGAGACAGAAAAGTATAAAATTTGTACCTCACCTTTCGTAGAGTACAATAGGAAGATATAAACCTGAGTTTACTCTGTGTTGGTATTTATATTTCGTATTTATTAAAATGTAATGCTAAGTTAATGGGTAGATCAATAGAATTTACTCCACTTAATAAAATTTGATCAACTTAGCGGTCACACTTATTTTTACATTTTGGGAGGAACCGATCCAGCTTTAGAAGCTTAAGCTAAGTTCTTTAACGGATTATATAAGCTATAGAAAGAAAAACATTAGATAACAAAAAGAGAATATAAGCGGTAGAAAGGAAAATATCAGATAATCTATCTTTATTCTTCCACTTTCCAGCAACAAATCTGAAGCTATACATTTTCTGTTCATCTCCCAGCCCTTTCATGCCAATAGCTCCTGGCATTAAGGAGCATGAGACTTTTTACGCCATAGGATTGATGTTATCCCCTATGTAGCAAAGTAATCCTCATTCACAGTGCTGAACTCATTTACCATCTTCATCAGAACCATGTATCTAAAACAAAATGGAACTTACTGATTTCCTCGAGCATGTTGGCAGATAAGCTTGGACAAATGTCTCATTTTAAGGACTATATTCTATTAAAAAAGTTAAGTGGGATCCTCTCCTCTCCTTCCTTAGTTTCATTCTTCCTGACAATATCAGGCAAATTTAGTTCCTAATTTTATATTGATTCCCTTATATAATACATGTTGCAAATTTTTGTTGTGATTATACATTCAATTTTAAATATCTTGATTTATATTATTTTAGCTTGGCTCAAGGATCATAACCCAACAGAAGTGAGTTTGAACAAAGCCATTGAAGAATTCACCTATTCTTGTGCTGGGTATTGTGTTGCTACGTACGTTCTTGGTGTAGCTGATAGGCATTCAGATAATATCATGGTTAAAAAGACTGGACAGGTAAGTCTCAAAATCTATAATGTTATGTGGTCCTACTGCTATGTGGTTATGTGGTCCTACAGGCAACATCTAGGTTTGGAATGCAAGAAAAATTTGTAAGGTCCAAAGATCATAGTAGCTACAGTTGGAACTGGAATGTTTGAGAATGAAAAAGTAAATAAATGAATAATTGATAGATAAAGAATATAAAAGAATGGTTGATAAAGTAAATAAATGAACTATTGAATGCTTGTTATTAATATTATTATCGAATACCATAATATTCTATGAACGTTTCTGTTGACTCAATAACTTATTTCAAATTTTAACATTTTCAGTTACGTATGTTTAATAATATATGTTTAATAATTAAAAAATTCTTATCTTCTTTTTCAAAAGTATGGTAGAAATATTAATAATTAAAATGTTGAAATTGGGAATAAGTCATTTGTCAACTGAAAGACACTTTTTTTGATTTGATTCATGTGAAGTTTGCCATGTATAGAATTATTTTAATTTCTTGTTGAACTTAATTTTTTATTATATGTATCATTTATGAATATTACTTTTTTTACAGCTTTTTCATATTGATTTTGGACATATCTTGGGTCATTTTAAAGAAAAATTTGGTTTCCGAAGAGAGAGAGTTCCTTTCGTTTTGACTCATGATTTTGTTCATGTCATTAACAAAGGCCAAACAAAAAAAATTCCTGTTGAATTTGAAATTTTTCAAAAGAGATGTGAACAGGTTTGTTTATTAGTAAATTTTCTTTATTTTTATAAAATTACAAATTGTATTCCTCTCAACTTATTTTCTCTTCAATAGTTTCTTGTATCAGTGCTCTGTATTTAGAATTGTTGTTTGAACCTGAAACCTGGTTGGTACCTGATGACTGGGGTATGTTCCAGTCAGTCAAGATCTTATGATGTTCACTGAATTATCTACTTATATTATCAATGATATACTTTTCATTGATTTTTAATTTCATTTAAAATTTAAGTGCAAATTAGTGATTTACTTTTATATTTTCTATACTTAGCTTAGTTTTTTAAATGATGTATTTTTAATGAAGAGATGAATAGTTGGGGTGCTCAGTCAAAAAAGGAAGGCAAAAATAAATTATAATATTTATTTTTTACATCTGCCGACGTTTCGACCTGAAGTTCAGGCCATCATCAGGGCTAAGAAAATAACCAGATAACAAGGTATGAGAAACTTAAGTAATGATGGTAAAAAAGATAATAACAAAAAAAAATGAGAAAATAAAATAGATTAGATCTAGATAAAATAGATCTAGATAAAAGAAAAATAAAATAGATAGATATAAAGTAAAATAAAATTGTTAGAATAATGACTAAGAACTAAGAGATAAATAATACAGACTGTTACATAGTGTGGAATGATGAAGTAGGCATAATCAAAAAAGGGGGTGACAAAAGTGTTACATTGGGAATCTTAGAATAAAATGTAAAAACATAAAAAAGAAATATAAAGTTATATAAGAAATGAGAATAAAATAAATAGTAAAATGAAAACATTGAGAATGGAGAAGTTTGATAGAAAATTGAGATATTGTAAAGTCTATCAAGATGTACAGACAATGTATAATATAATAGAGAGTTAACAACAGAGAAAAGGAATGAAAGGAAGGAGGGAAGAAATTGAGAAAGCTGAAATAAGAAAGAAATAAAAGAAGTAGTACCTTTCTCCTGAAATGTCAAAGTGAGAATGAAGTCGTTACAAAGAAGGTGGAGAGAGAAGGGATGTGGAGGTGGCGTCATCTGTAACGGTTATCGGACGAAGCTAGAACTAGAAGAATGCTAGAAGCCTAAATAGTTACGAGAGATATATTATGTAGAAAAATTATGGAATATTGAACGAAAGTTAATAGAAAGTGAAAGTGAATATATATATATAAGGGAGTTGTCAGCAAAAAGGAAAGGAATATAACTATGGATGTTTTAATAAATTCAGAATTTGGCTATAGGTTAGAGAAAAGTTGTTTTTGTCAGATTTGAGATTCACTGTCTTAGGTTGAAGCTGGATGTGGAGGGTTTCAGAAATGAGTCGTTTGTCATGGTTGAGAACAGTGGCAAGGATGGATGTTTTGTCGAAGTCAAATGAATGATTGAGGGAGAGAGAATGTTCGGATAATTTGGAAGCGGTGAAATTACGAGAGGATACAGAATATTTATGTTGGGTTATGCGGTCTTTTAGGAGATTTTTGGTTTCACCAATATAGGATGAAAAACAATTGGGGGTAGAACATGGAATACGGTAAACGATATGAGAGCGGTGTGAGAGAGGAAGAGGATCTTTTAGGGATGTGTATAATTTTTGTGGGGAGTGTTGTGAGATTTGAATGCAAGTCGTAAGTTAGGGTTAGTGGATCGTAAAACTTTGTTGATGTTGTCTGAAAGGTTAGGAATATAAGGTAGAGATCTGTATATAGAGGCTGAAATGGGTTGTGGAGAATTAGAGAAAGTTGAGATTAAGGAAGAGCGATTATTGTGGTCCGTTATAAGTTTGTTAATGACATGGAGAGGAAAATTATTGTTTGACAGGATCTGTTTTATGCGTTTGGTATTGGTAACATGAAATTGGGGGTCAGAGAGGGAGAGACTACGGTGGATGAGGTTTTTCGCAACGTTAATTTTTTGGTGGTAGGGATGTTTGGAATGGAAATTTAGGAGTCTGCCAGTGTAAGTCGGTTTGGTGTACCAGTCTGTGGATATGGTGTTATTGGGATTTTTAATGATTAGAAGGTCGAGAAAAGGGAGAGAATTATTGAGTTCGCGTTGTACTGTAAAATTGACCACTTAACCGCTCCTCATATCTCGAATCCCTTCATCTATGCTGTAAATCAGGCTACCTCACTTTCCAAGGACAATTTTTTAACCAAATCTCTGGACTAGCAATGGGTAACCCCCTCGCTCCCGACATCTCGAACATCGTTCTCAATGATCTTCTAGACACCATTATCCCTCTTTACCCTGACGACATCATCTTTATTCGGAAATACGTAGACGACCTCCTCCTAATCATCAATCCAAACAAAATTCCTGATATTCTATCACATTTTAACTCTTACCACCCCCGCCTCAATTTTACAGTACAACGCGAACTCAATAATTCTCTCCCTTTTCTCGACCTTCTAATCATTAAAAATCCCAATAACACCATATCCACAGACTGGTACACCAAACCGACTTACACTGGCAGACTCCTAAATTTCCATTCCAAACATCCCTACCACCAAAAAATTAACGTTGCGAAAAACCTCATCCACCGTAGTCTCTCCCTCTCTGACCCCCAATTTCATGTTACCAATACCAAACGCATAAAACAGATCCTGTCAAACAATAATTTTCCTCTCCATGTCATTAACAAACTTATAACGGACCACAATAATCGCTCTTCCTTAATCTCAACTTTCTCTAATTCTCCACAACCCATTTCAGCCTCTATATACAGATCTCTACCTTATATTCCTAACCTTTCAGACAACATCAACAAAGTTTTACGATCCACTAACCCTAACTTACGACTTGCATTCAAATCTCACAACACTCTCTCGAAATTATACACATCCCTAAAAGATCCTCTTCCTCTCTCACACCGCTCTCATATCGTTTACCGTATTCCATGTTCTACCCCCAATTGTTTTTCATCCTATATTGGTGAAACCAAAAATCTCCTAAAAGACCGCATAACCCAACATAAATATTCTGTATCCTCTCGTAATTTCACCGCTTCCAAATTATCCAAACATTCTCTCTCCCTCAATCATTCATTTGACTTCGACAAAACATCCATCCTTGCCACTGTTCTCAACCATGACAAACGACTCATTTCTGAAACCCTCCACATCCAGCTTCAACCTAAGACAGTGAATCTCAAATCTGACAAAAACAACTTTTCTCTAACCTATAGCCAAATTCTGAATTTATTAAAACATCCATAGTTATATTCCTTTCCTTTTTGCTGACAACTCCCTTATATATATATATTCACTTTCACTTTCTATTAACTTTCGTTCAATATTCCATAATTTTTCTACATAATATATCTCTCGTAACTATTTAGGCTTCTAGCATTCTTCTAGTTCTAGCTTCGTCCGATAACCGTTACAGATGACGCCACCTCCACCCTTCTCTCTCCACCTTCTTTGTAACGACTTCATTCTCACTTTGACATTTCAGGAGAAAGGTACTACTTCTTTTATTTCTTTCTTATTTCAGCTTTCTCAATTTCTTCCCTCCTTCCTTTCATTCCTTTTCTCTGTTGTTAACTCTCTATTATATTATACATTGTCTGTACATCTTGATAGACTTTACAATATCTCAATTTTCTATCAAACTACTCCATTCTCAATGTTTTCATTTTACTATTTATTTTATTCTCATTTCTTATATAACTTTATATTTCTTTTTTATGTTTTTACATTTTATTCTAAGATTCCCAATGTAACACTTTTGTCACCCCCTTTTTTGATTATGCCTACTTCATCATTCCACACTATGTAACAGTCTGTATTATTTATCTCTTAGTTCTTAGTCATTATTCTAACAATTTTATTTTACTTTATATCTATCTATTTTATTTTTCTTTTATCTAGATCTATTTTATCTAGATCTAATCTATTTTATTTTCTCATTTTTTTTTGTTATTATCTTTTTTACCATCATTACTTAAGTTTCTCATACCTTGTTATCTGGTTATTTTCTTAGCCCTGATGATGGCCTGAACTTCAGGTCGAAACGTCGGCAGATGTAAAAAATAAATATTATAATTTATTTTTGCCTTCCTTTTTTGACTGAGCACCCCAACTATTCATCTCTTCATTATCCACGACAGTCAACCAATTACCAATGATGTATTTTTAAATTTTTTTCAATTTGTATTGAAAATGTTTCAGGCATTTCTTATATTAAGGCGGCATGGTAGTCTCATACTTTCTTTATTTGCAATGATGATTTCAACGGGTCTTCCTGAACTTAGTTCTGAAAATGACCTTAATTATTTACGGGAAACTTTAGTGAGTACAATTCAGATCAAACTTATATAATATTAGATATATTTTGATTAGTAATACAATCTAATTTTGTTGGAACGTACTAGTCAGTTCATTTGATTTTCGAATCCAGTTCTCACGTTTTGCAATGGTTAATTCAAAACCAAATTTATCCCTGCCTCTTAGGTTATTTTATACTAGGCTGTTAAGTAAATACAAGTCTACCCCAGCAACATTTCTCACGTTAGATAGCTTTCCTTCTCTTCAATACGTTCAACAGGAGTTAAACATGTTTGATCTGAGATACAAGGTAATATTTTCAAGATAGTCTATTCAGCACAAACAGTTGATGAAGCTTCATACAGCCAGCTATCCCTGAATCCATTCTAATCTTTTGTTATACTCGCTCTAGACCTATGCTTTCGGTTAGAAGAGTCTTACTTAATTTGTGGTTATCTCTCTTACTCAGATTACAGAGGTCTTGCTGTGAGTATTGAAGCCATACTTGGATATATTTTTGTTCATTAAAAATATAGAAATGTTTCTTTCTTTATTATTAACAGTGCTACAGGAATCGTAGAGCCGTTCTTATCCATTTTGCTTTTTAATAGATTTTTATTTTGTCAGAGATTTTCACAAATAGCAACATTTTAGTTTCTAAAACCTAAATTTTTAAACATTGGATAAGCATCCCATGGTAGCAAATGCACCGAAAAGACATTTTGGAAGACTTATAGTTTATTTCTATGATAGTTCATTTTAAATCTTCAAAACACAGGGGCTGGTATAGTTCTATAAAAATTTCAAAATATCTTTGGACTATGTTTGGGATATGCGGAAGAACTTAACGATAACTGCATCCGAAAGTGCCAGACAAAAAATTGAGAAGGTCCAAAAATCAGCACTCTGCATAATAATAGTTGTGCCTAAGTCTACACTCATTACAGCTATCCAATAGCAAACATATATTGAGCCATTAGCAATATGTAGACTTAGAGAAATAAGCTTCTATAATTGACTAAATAGACTCCCAATCAACTACTGGTCAAAGAATAAGCAAACCCCAAAAATACACATTACAACAAGGTACATTTGTAGAAAAAGCAAAGGAATTTACAGATAAAACAAACTTGCTTCCTGCTCAAAGAAAACCAGTGCCTTTAAGAACGCCAAGTATCTCAGTGAAAGCAGTATCATCATACATTAACCTTATTAGACCCATAAAAAAGGAGAGACAGTTCTATACAAATTAAGATCATAATTGGCTCTGGAAACATTAAGTGAACGATATTCCAGCCCACTGTGGACTCATGTGTGCACCGATGGTTCTGCCGAACAAGCAGTACACCGTTAGTGAAATTTACACAATTTCGTTAACGTTGCAAGTCCCCTCTAACACAGACGCTCAAATCAAATCAAAATATTGCTGCACTGTTGGTAGACTCCCAATCGGTTATACTCGTAGCTCAACCCAATAAATCCTATGCTCAGAATATTTTAGATTGTTAGTATATCATCAAAGGAATGCGTTCTTCAGAGCAGAGAAATAAGCAGATGTCTTTCCAAAGGGTTAGATAAGAAATACAAAACAGGTTGCATTCTTGGAATCACGTAAGATAGATACATTTGGGAAGCAATGGTACCAATGCTAATTGAAGAGGAAAGGATACAAGTTGACCTGCCGAGATAATATGCAGTAGCAGAATTTCATATGGTTACTGGGCATGATTATCTGAAGACTATTGAGTATAAATTAAGAATGGCAGATTCTCTATTCTATAATAAATGTAATATGTGATCAGTCATGGATACAACACAATCAATAAACGTATGCCCACGCGCTTACTACACTTAAGAGATAGACAGAGTCTAAATGAGAATGGTACTGGGCTGGTAGAATTCTAATGGTCGAAGTTGAAGAAGTGAGGCATATTTAAAAAACAAATATATCTTTCAAGTAATTTAAAACAATTTTTTATTCAGATTAAATAAATGACAACAAGATTTTATAAGATTTCATAATATATGTTCCAAACATATTTTTTTTTTATATGAATGAATAATTATTCAAAATATTTTTAGTTATTAAAAATCCAAATTTTAATGGAATACTTGCTGTCGTTGCTATTTTAAAATAATGGGTTAATTTAGGTTTTAGATCTTAATGAAATAGATGCTTCAGCACATTTCATGTCAAAGTTTGATGAAGCTTTAAGTAATTCTTGGAAGACATCACTGAATTGGGCCTCCCACAACCTGGCTAAGAACAACAAGCAGTAGCTTTTTGACAGAGAAGGGCTCCTTCCTATGTACTCAGACTGTGATCATTTAAACTATAGTGATTTAAATTTAGGCAGAGACTCAATTGTATTAATTTAAGTTTATCTGTAATTTTCTATAGAGAATGGATATTTGTATTGGTAGATACTATTAAAATTTACTTGCTCATGCATATTATTATACAAGTATGCATGAATCTTATGTAAATTTATTCCTTTCATCAGTGTTACTTACATGAAAAAGACTAATTTAATGACAAATGATTGTTTTATCCCAAACTTGCGTTTTTGTTTATTTTAATTTGTTTAATAATTTTATCGGTTGAACACAGCTTGGTTTAGTATGAAAGAATATTCTGCTATTATATTAGATGAATAGGGAAGTATTACTGACTAAATTTTCTGAATAATTTGAGTGGTAAATTTTCAGTGAAAATATTTAGATTGTAATAGTTTTAGTTTTTTAGTCTATTGATTTTTTATTTTTATGTCCATATGAATTTAAAAATAACAAGGTTTTGTTTTATTTTTTGTTTCTTGATGGATATTTTGTCAAATTAGGAAAACTCTTTAAGTAAGGATATATAGGGTAGATTCAGTTTTTATTGGTAATCAAATTTTTAGAGATGAAATGAGAGATATTTTCCTCTTAAGATACTGTTTTATGATCATGTTTAGATTAAATTCTTATCGTTTGTAATTTTTTAGGAATTTGGTTTTAATTGCTCTAAAATGCTTTCAATTCTCGATAGGGTTAAGAAGATGCCGAATATTATATGGTCTTGAAGCAATTAATTTTAAAAATAGGTTATTAAACTTCTTTTTTATTATGAATTATACTTAAACTTTATATCATGAAGAATCATGTTGCATTAAAAAAAAAATGCCATTCTTACCTCAATGATTGCTATCAAACATTACTCTTTGAACTTTTTTTTTTACTAATTATCATTTAATTTATTTTTATTCAAATGTATCATGTTTTGTTTAGTTTTTTTTTATGATGAATTGTATATATTGATTGACATTGGAATAATTTGTTCTCCATTAAATTTTATTATTTGATTAATACTTGATTTGGGTTGAATAATGCGGATCATAACTAAAATTCTGATGAAAACTATGGTTGTTTTCCAAGTCATCAATTCAATTTATAATCATCTACCGAAGTTTGATCACAATTTTATCTTTATTCATCAATTTAATCTTTCTAGACTATGTTATATTCTTGTGTTCATTAGAAGAATTAAAGTTTTTTTTTAAAGAATATTTATAGTCCAAAATATTTAAGGTTCCGAAGTATTTTTATAAAACTTTTTAGTAGTTAATGTTGTCAGTAGCTTGTTAGGAGTTAATATTGTCAAAAACTGTGAATGTTGATACAATTTTTTAGTTATAATTTCTTTTGAGTTAGTCACAATTTTTTTTTTCAGTTTCTATTTCGTTTGACCCTTAATAAGTTATTATTATTCTATATTTAAATGAATTACTTAGTAATTAATCTCTTCCATGTGAAAATTATATTGGTTCTATTGACATCATCAGAGGTTAGTACTTAATCAGTTCTCTGAAATTCATTTATGAAAATTGCGCATTTATAGAAAATCATTGAAAATTAAAAGTTCTCATTACTAATGTTTTTTTTTTCTATTATTAACATTAAACAATATAATTTGGAATTTATTGTTTAGTAGATTACAAAAGAAATTATTTAAAATAATGGTTCCAATAATTTATTATTTTTGAGTATTATTCTCTTTTTAAGAATGAAATTTTATAGTATTTTTCTAATTGATATTGTTTACAGTTTATGACTACATTTTGTTAAAGATACATTCTGATTAGGATATCTATTACTTGCTTTAAACCATAGCACTATGGAAATACTTTAGTATTGACTTATAAATGAATTTTTTCGTTAATCAGGAGAGACTTTTATCAAGTAGTTCGCCAATGCCACTGTTATTACTGGCATCAGAATATTTCAGAGAACACCCGTGATGTTATGAGATTGTCATTTGTGATTACGTTCGACTTATTTACTTTAATATGTTTTTTCATCATTTTATTAATATTATTTTTTAAATTATATTGTTGAACATGGGTTTTTCTCGGATCTCTGACATGTTAAGGATCTTTTCAATTTTATTTGGATATATTATGTTACACTCAAATAATGGTTATTTACAGATAGTTTAATTTACGTTTCTTTTAAACTTGATGCTGATTTATGGGTTATATTTCTCTATGTCAAATGATAATGAATAGTAAAATTGTATCCAATCAGTTATAACCTCAATTCGTTCATAAGAGTTGATAATGTCTTTCAAATTTCCACTCTTTGTGTTTGATTGGTTTCTATGGGACCAGCTAAATTTGAAAAAGAAAATCCATCATAGATGTACTAATTTAAATATTATTCTATTATTGTTATTGCCTGATGAATTAGGTTGGGCTCTTTCTATTAAAATGTGATATTATATAAGACTGCAAGGGAGAAGCGATTCGTCCAGAATGACAAGTATGTCTATGATTGCTTTTCTTTAACTGTCAATATTCCATTAAAGAAAAAAGAAAAAAATATTTAAATAAATATCTAAAATGTTATACGAACAATGCAGCACATCAATTGTAAATAGGTATTATGAATTTTGTGTTGCTCGTTACAATATTAATTCTCTTTTGATAATATAGTCTAGCTAAATTTTAATTTCATATTTAAGTTGTCTAATCAAAGGTAACTAGTTTACATATTTTTTAAATGGCTTTTATTTAGCCATTTATTTAAACCAAGCTTTGGATTAAAACAATCATATAATGAGTGAGTGTTTAGTTAAAGAGATAGTATTGATTGTTTGAGTGAGAGAACAAAATGGATGTCGTGAATTTTCTGTGATAATTTAACAGAAATCTTCCCTTTACTCTCCTCAGATATCTTAATATTCAATATTTTATTAGTACAATTATTTTTTTTTTTTTTAAACATATCGGTTTAAGGAGTTTTATTTTTGTTCTTTTTTATATTACGATCTCCAACAAAAATACTATCCTATTGTATATTTACTACTACTCCTTTAACTGTATAGGACAAGTTTTATCTAGTAAATCCAGTATTAGCAATTTTTAAATCATTGACATGAGTAACAAATGGCCTAAACAGTTATATATTATAAGTAATAAAAATGTGTAATACAACTGATTAGTTATTAAGAATTTAATTCTATGTATAAAAGATGTATTGTTGATTGAACCTGTGTAAAGAATGGTAATATGTAAAAAATATATATATAGTTGTAGGCATTAAGTATAATTGATTGTATTAGTCATTTTGAATGAGCAGCTTGATAATATATTTAAGATAATAAGTACAGGCATGCCATATAGGGAATAGAAAATTCATCAATTATTCTTAATTTTTTCTTCCTCATTCATCAAAAAATTATTTATTTTATTCTTGTAATAAACTACTTAATAAATGGTAATATTGATAAAGATTTTGCTTTATTTTTTATTGAACAGGTCTGTAAGAAGTTAAATTTCAATAAAAAAAAAGTAGTATTGGGCTTATTTTGACGGATTGATTGGAAAAATAAATTTCATTTTCAATTTATGAGTGATTTATGACTATCTCTGCAGTTTTATTTAAATTTTAGGTTAAATTATTTCATTTTGGTTAAAACCATTTTTGTTGAAATATTTTGGTGGGGCATATTTATAAATATCTTGCCTTGAATGATATTTTGAGAATTTTGAACATTAACATATTCAAAAAACTTTTAACTTCGAAAAATTTAGAACATATTATTTGGTGATGAGATTTTAACAATAAGTATGCTAAGCATTTTCTTTTGGTTATGGCTACAAAGTACTACAATTTCTTATTGTTTGTTTAATTTTTATCATTTTTTAAAATCTAAAATAACCATTTTATTTTTTTGTTTTATATTTTGTTAATTCTTTAATTAACGTAATGAACATTAATTAAAGAATAGTTTAATGATAAACGGCTATTATAAAGGGAAAACAAAAATAAAAAATATATTAAGAAATTGGGTTTTGAATATAGTCAATCTGCCTATTGAATTATAAATATTTTTTAATTTATAAATTACTTTTTATAAGACCATTAGCTAAAGTTTTAATTAAAAATCAAGTGTTTGTAATCGTAAATGTTTAGTTAGAAGAAAATGGTGAATTGAAGAACCTATTAGATCAATGTTTTAAGAGATTTTTCTTTGCATTGTATTTTGATTCAGTTAGATTTATAGTCTAAACTGAGCGGTTAGCACTATGATTTGTTTTTGTATTACTAAACTAAATCATGCCTCATTGATAGTATCTTTCTTAAAAAGAGCGAACTCTAGAGTGGGAAAATATAAGCAACTGACACTGGTGAGGAGTGTAACGTTTATCTCCAATGTTTGTCTTATTTTTTTTTTTTTTTTAAGAGAATGAATATTAGCCATTTGTGGTGGAAGTAAGGTTTTGAATATTTTTTTTTTGTGTTATTTTCTTGTCAAATTTGTAATATCTTTGGATAATTGCTGTTAGCGGTGTTCTATAGCTTGTCATAAGATGAACTAGTTCTAAGATATTAAATTTTTATGACTTATTTCAATTTTGATTTGCCTGAAATTTTTTTGAGTTTTGATAACACTATTAATAATAGCACTTAGGGACATTTGCCTTAAATTAGTTGGTAAATAAAAAGCAAATGATTGTTGTAACTATGGCCAATTTATTAAATTATAAATAATTGCTGTTTTAATTTTGTCTTTGTTAGGTTAATTATAATATAATATAAATATGGTATTATTTGTCTATAATAGAGCCAAAGTTCCTTATGTATGTATTTTTCTTATATTTCTTTTTTTTTTTTTTTTTTTTTACAGATTTTTCATTTATTTTATTTTTTTAAAGCTTTAAAATTTTATCTGTTGGAATAAAAAATATTAAAACCATTTAATAAGACTGTATCGCCTGTCTATTTTTTAAGATGATTATTTATTACTTTATAGGTAAATATTATTAATTATAAAATATCTTCTTAAAGATCAGTTTTCTTCATATTTAACTAAGTGGTATTTCGTTACTACTACCTCGCTCTCTCTTTTTTTTTTTTTTTTTTTTACTTTTTTATGGTCTTGACTACATTATGAATTATCTAATTTTCTTTAGGCCTTTTTTTATTTTTTTTATTTCTGTTTTACAGCATTTATTTTTGTTTGTCATGGACTAGATAATTTTATAAAAATTACCATTATGGAGTGATATTTCCTTATTTTTCTATTAAGAGCCTTTTTTGTTTAACAACGGCTGGAAAATGTTCATAAGTAATTATTTAAATTGAAAATTAATTTATTTTAATGCTGTTATTTTGCCTTTTAGAATTATGGAAACTGAGGTTATTCATTTTATAGCTATTGTTCTTGTAATAGGGCAGCATTCAGTTTAAAGTAATGAATTAGCTGTGCTTATTCACTTTTCACCACTTCGATTTTCCTCTGGAAACATTACTGCCTTAACTATAATTTTGTTTTTAGTGATAAAATATTAAAGAATTAGCAAGAAAGTTGTAAAATAGTTGTAAGAAAGACTTGTATGGTATAATTGTTACCCTATTATTTTAACAATTTTTTTCATTTATAATATGTGAGTATGTTGAATGACTCCCTAGTTAATTTCCTCTTCATTCTGTAAGCCAAAATATCAATTGAAATTATTGTATAATTGAGTGTAAATAGTTAAAATTATATTTTATTAAGTCTGTATTTGCTATGTAATCAAGACATCCTTGAGATATGTAAATTTGTATGGATTTATACTTATTAGATAAATGTAAATCTCTTTTCTTTGTTAAGCATATTTATTATAAATATAAAATAAAAACTGCCGTATGTTTTTTTTTCCTTTAATGTTTTCTACTAATTTCAAGTTCCTTTTACAAAATACTCATGTTTACAGCTAGCTGTTGTAGCTAGTTCTTGGATAAGCCAAGGGCACTGTCACAGCCTATCAGCAAGGTTTCAAATAGATTGAAATATCTATCTCTTGCAAATGTGGCTTGCATTTTTCACTCTAAAGTTTATCAGGCGGACCAATTTGTTTGTCATTCCATGTTTCTGAGAACCTTTTTGAGTTTTTGAAATCGTTAAACAAGAAATAAGCATAGAGGCCCATGTACTCTATCATTTATCAAAGCACAATGATGGGATTTCGAGCACTTCGGTCCTACCACAATCCACATTGGACATACAAGAAATCTATCATGTGGATAAGTCTGATAAGAAAAGTAATGAGTGAATAATGCAGTTGAACGTGTTAGAGAAATTTTAAGTATCTAAGATTTGTTCAGCAGTAACCAACTGAATTTAAAAGGGAATAAAAGCAAAATTGAAATTAAGAAAATTTTGTTATTTCTGCTTCAAATTACTCTGTGTATGGCTAATGCCAGACAATCTAAAGGATTTAAGAGATTTTTATAGTTAATAACTTTAGTATTAAATCAGAGTTCTTCATGACTGATGTGAATTTTAGATTCTTATCTTCAATTTTTTGTTTCTATTGTTACTCCCTCACCATTTCTGGCATACAGGTGGTTTGTTCTAGAGGTACAACCAAACCCATTCTAACCAGATTGGAAAGATTGAGATTCATTCTGTTGGTCCTCCATGAAATAAATTTTAACCACCATTGTTAGACTCGATAATGTTAAAATTTGCGCTTTAACATGCCCAGCCATTACAAACTCTATTTAATCTTTTACTTGTGCATGTTAAATTTGTTAAACATAAGATGGAATGTTTGATATTGGCTGAAGTAAAATAAAACATCGGTAAAAAGTAATTCCATTTACCAATTTAATTGGAATTTACCAAAAAAGGCCATTATATTCTTAACAAACATATTCAATTCCATTCTTAGAACGACACATTTTCCGATTTTATGGAAATACTCAATCATAACTATGATTCACAAACCCAATAAGCCTATAGACCGTCTTGATTCTTACTGCCCAATTAGTTTTCTACCTTCTTTATCTAAAGTATTCGAAAAAATTCTGTTTCCGCGTTTAAATTCACTTAGACTATTTGATGTCATTCCAAATTTCCAGTACGGGTTCAAAGAGCATCATTCGACTAGTCAACAATGTTACCGTCTTATAGATTACATATCTTTCTCGCTAGAATCAAAATTGTACTGTCCCGATGTTTTTCTTGACATGAGTCAGGCTTTTGATAGAATATGGCACGATGGTTTGTTACATAAATTAAAAACGATTATTCCTCCGACGTATTACTTAATTTTACTATCATATCTAAAAGATAGATTTTTACCTGTGAAAATGGGGACTGAGTTTATTTTAGCACTGTATATATTTGACCTACGTATTTCAATATTTGAGTATTTTCCATTCACAGCATACATGTTATAATCCATGGTGTGCCTTAAGGTGTAAGTTACTATGTTCTGTATTCAGATATCTGGTTTACTTTGATGTCTATTGATTTTCAATAGATTTACTTAATAATGCTGATGCTTCATTCTGATTGGGTGTGATGGCAGGGGGGGGGGGAGGAGGGGGAAGGGAGGGAAGGAGTGATGGACCCTCACTTGAAAAAAAGTCTGAGATGTTTATATTATGTATAAAAATTATGAGTGACAATTAACACAATCAAATTAATTATTATAAAACGAACAATATATAACTAATTCTAGGCCTTAGCTTATCCATCTAATCAACTTTTCTTAGTTTCTTAATTGATTTTAGTTTACATATTTTATTCAATCATGTAGATTAATTTTGATTTTTTTTGCTCTTAGAAATATTGGGGAGGGAGGAGAGGAGTAAAACGATATTCTCACCTCCTCTCTATTTTTATTGAGGGGGAGACCATTGTCTCCCTCACCTCCCCGAAGTCTGCTTGTGTGCTAATGGAATTAGACTATTATATATTAGTAGTATATTTAGTATATTTCAGGCTTTTGATTCATTTTGCTTACTTAAAGGGAATGGAATAGTATCAAATGACTACAAATAACAACAATGCTACATATTTATTGTTATTGGACAGAACTCTATTAAGTAATTTAGAATCATTGTTGCATTGTTTGCTATAGGATATGCATTTAAACTGTTTATGTATATTTACAATATTTACAGATGTAAGTTAGATAATAAATAAGTGAACTTCTGGTTGTGAGTTACATGTAATAGTTAGTCGCATTAGCTGCAAGGCCGAGTATGCCTGAGGCCAAGGCCCTCCCTGTTGCGAGGCCCATTCCTCCAACCCAGGGCAAGCTCACCAATGCCAGTCCAATCAGCAACTCCTTCATCAGGTTCGTCATGAGCTGGGGTCTGTCTCCATCTTGAATATAAAATGTTTAATCATTATTTTCTCTTTCAAAAATAAAAATAATGTCTTGTTTAAATTGTATTTATTTATTTTGTCTTCTATCAGGTTGTTTCTGCCTTGGGGAGATTATACAACAGGTAACTAATCTATTTTAACTAGAGTGAGAAGGTGAAGTTTCATTTAGTGGGCCTGCCAAAAAATAAACTTCAAAATACCCAGCCCTGATTGGCCTTGCCTCTTTGACTCAGGGCTGCTTAGGTGATGCCTTAACACTCGAATTTTAGAGCTAAATAAATTTCTATTTGTCCTGAATCCGTCATAATTCAGAATCACCTCATTTCCACAATTCATTGAAAAACATTAAAATCAATTGTTAAGTTTTGTTCATTGCAAATTTATTTTACATCAAGCAATGGAAGATATTCTTATAAGTATGTGCTAATCAGTGTTTAATTTTTCCAATCTAAATTAAGTAAATAGTCCTTTATTTTAAATAGTTGGTGATCTATTTTTTGCTATTATAAGTAATAAAAACTTTTTGCTCTGATATTTCCACTGAATTAAGTAGATATTAAATAAAAACTGGTTAGCCCTTGCGAATAATTTTCATAATAATACCGGTCATTGAACAAATGGCAAAGTAATATAGAAAAATATGCAAACAAAAAGTGCAATGTATTATGAGACAGAGGATTTTTTTTTCCATGGTCGATTACAATGGTTCATTCAAAATAATAAACCAAAAGGTGTAAAAATTACAATTGGCTGTATGTTTGCTGTCCGATTTCGAATTTTTTTTCTTTCATTTTTTTGGAAATTTATAAATCTTTCAAATCATGGGTATAATCCCTATTAAATGTTATAATCCCTTACTTTCCTTTGGAATGAGCTTATTTTTCGCACCTAAAGGAGAAGATAATCTTCAAGATAATGGACCAATAATTGGATTTAATGAAGAACTATTTACACCACTTGAAAATGACTGGTTAGTTATTTGCCTGATTTTGTATGAGTGTAGAATCACTATAATCATCCGATAATAATGTAATTGTGTATTTTATTATATTATTGTATATTTTATTATAATGTAATTGTATATTTTAGTCATTATAATCATCCGATAATAATGTAATTGTATATTTTTATCTCATTAGTTTCTAAAATAATATTCTTCCTCTTTTTCAAGAAATAAGACTGAGTTTTGAACGGAAGTATAATGACTAACTCTAAAAGTTTATTGGAATATAATTATTTATAAGTGCCCTTACCTAATTGGACAGATCGAGGGTATGGGTAGTGTGGCTGATATCCGATGAAAGACTTGACCAAGGGGAAGACTCTGTTGGAAAAACAATCCAATCCTGAGAAGAGGCAGTAGTAGGCGGTGCGGATGATTCCCCAGATATCCGGCTCCAGGAGCTGCCTTTCCTGCCATAGCCCAGCGACCGGGTAGAGGATGGTGGTCTTCCTCCTCGCCGGCACCTGATGGTCCACAGAGGTCGGTGCGGTGGTCTCTTGGTCTTCGTAGGTGGGCGTGGTGGTCTCTTGGAAGAAGGAGGTCGGTACAGCGGTGACCTCCAGTGACCTCGCCATGAACTGCGGTTCCTCCTTGGTCCGCAGCGGCACCGGTTGGTACTCCACCGGCAGCCCGCGGTCGCCCGGAGTCCGGATCATGCTCCTCGTGATGAGCCTCAGGCCAGAGGCCACTCCAAGTATCGCTACGAGCCGCAGCATCCTTTCTGGTGTCCCATGCTCTGTCCGTCCTCTTCAAATACTCGGAGTTCGCCGGAACTGAGTGATCCATTGTCTTCGGCCACTTACCTACGGCAAGTTGGTTAGGGATGGTCTGTTAAACATGGCATAGATTTTTATTATTTCTGTTCTATTTCTACGAGGTACAAAGCAGATCTGGGCAAAAATACTGTAATTATTATGTTATTACAGCAGATATTTTATGCCTTGAAATTACAATGTATTTCAATCGAGTCGCTTATTCCACAAAGTGAAACCTACGCGATTTTTATAGAAATTGATAAAAGTGTAGATTCTTAAGCAAATGAATCCGATGGTGCAATTATTTAAAACGAATCTAAATATTCTATACGAATATAAATAATCTAAGAAAAAAGGGATGTGAAAATTAGTTTATTTCTGAAAGAGGCCTTTTATTTCTAGGAATCTAATGAAACTTTTATTTTTTAAGTGTTCTTAAAAAAAATCTAAAGCTTTTTTAACTATTTTATTTAAATGAACATTAAAAATAAATTTATTTCATTGTACGATTATTGTAAACAAAAAAGTTAATTTTTTATAATACAATTTTCATTACTTTCCCCCTAAATTCAATATTACATCATATGAATTTTCGAAGGAATGTTTGCAACCTACAAAAAAAAAAAAAAAAAAAAAAAAAAAAAACACTTCCTGATGGTTTGGGTTTGTGTGTTTCTAGATCTGGAGTTGGAGACCTCTTGCGAATAGATATAAAATGGATGCAACACGAGAAAAGGATTAATAAGTCAACACAACGGATTCGTCCCTTGGCTTCATGTTAATTGAAAATAACGCTAATTTAGATATATATTACATCTACCATATCTGCAAGCTTAAATCAGTTTACCATTAAAAAGATAAATTTACTTTTAAATTGAAATTTTTATTAATATTTAGTACGTCAGAAGACTTTTTCACACCACTGTATTTATTTGTTAGACCTGTGCAGTATAGCAACATGTACTCAAGTTACTAGGACTAACAGTTATGCTTAGCTATCGTCATCGTAGAGAGTTGTGGCGGTGATTGAAGAAAGTCAGCAATTGTTATTGCATGGCAATTTCTTTGAAAGTATGAATGTCCAATAAGATTAATTGACAATACGTAAAATTACTTACCCTTTCTGTTATAATTGTACCCTCAATTCAATAGCAGTATCAAATGACCATTTGATACTTATTCTATAGGTATGCAACTTTCGATACTGTTTCTAAACAAAATATGTGAGGTCTCGTTAACGAGTACCTATTATGCTATATTTTAATGTAGACAAATACACAATAAATCACACACATATTCGTAATCAGAAAGAGCTAGAAAACATCATGCACGCAATATTTCTTTGCCCGATTTGCTCTAATGTTATCAAATATAATGAAGACAATAGTTGTTTTGATTTTAACAAAGAAAACAATTTAATAAACTCATGATAAATATGTCCGTTTTAACATTTAAATGTCCTTTATAATGATTTATGTTTACGTTTTCATTGTAGACTTTTTGGACCTAAAGAACAAAATAGTTTTTAAGAATAAAAAAAAATTATAATAGATAAACTTAAAATACTAAAACTTAGTATTTACAAAACCATTATCCTACAGTTCTTTATGGATGCAAAACATGGATGCTTACATTAAGGGATGACCAACGCCTTTTTAAAAAAAATAAGGTATCGCATAGAAGGATACGTCAACCAGGGAATTTCGATAGTTAAACTATGCCGAATTGCGTGAACTATATCCCCTTAATATAATTAAAGTTGCGGCGAAAATTGTTGGGCTTAGTATCAGAAGAATTCCTAAAAGATTAATGTGCCGTCTGGTAAAAGTGCGAGGGGTAAACCGAATTGAAGAGGTGGGGATAGCGTTAAGTTCTGTAGGAACTAAGTTTGGACAGCCATTTATTATTATTTAATGTAAATAGTTCTCTGCTGAAACGTATTACGTTGATGCAGAAGATTAATCCTTTGGTCATACTTGTCTCCGTTATGAAGAGTGGAGTGTAGAATCCAGGCTTGTAAGAACTACATTTCCGCAACGACGATATGTTTAAAAAAAATAAGGTATCGCATAGAAGGATACGTCAACCGGGGAATTTCGATAGTTAAACTATGAACAATCCAGAAATTAAATATGTCTACAAAATTTATTTATTTTTATTAAAAACATCAGAATGATTCTTTCTACATTATCCCAGAGGTCCAAGAAACCTCAGAACTATTCTTCTTCCTTTACTTTTCAATAGATATTTATTTTGTCGTAGATAATTACAAATAGGAACATCTTAAACCAAAATATTGTTAAAATGTTGGCAAGAGTATTTATTGATGCATAAATTTATAGAACGTGTTTTTTAATATACTTCTCTCCCCTCTTAGGTTTTTATTATTGAAACACGATATTATCATTTGAAGTATAATATGTAAAAACTATAAATATAATTAACAGCTCGTTAATTATTAATTTACATAATTAATCAAATAACTTTCTACCCCTAAAATAAATGTAATTAATCGAAATATACTTAGGATATGTCTTGAAGCTAAAATATGAACAAACATTAAACTTTGCCTTAATGCAACATAAAAGTTTACCAAAGTATTAAGAATTACTTTCATAAATATATCGATTGTATTTAGTATATATTGACTACAACCGTGTGGTGTACGATGGTCTCTTGGTGGAGCTCTGTGGCAGACTGAAAAGACTAATGAACAGCTGCGTAAGACTTGTAATTGGGACTCCGAGATGCTGCCATGTCTCTCCACTACACTGAGCTGAAGTGGCTCTTTCCCTCCTTCCGAAGAATATATTTCCTAGGTACGTTGCTCTATCAAATCTTCAACAATCATTTCCCTTCTTACGTCTACAACATTCACCAATTCATGTCCTCAGTCTTGAAATAAACATGGATAAGACAAAATATATGGTTAGCTGCAAAAATGCTGATATTACTGGTAATATCGATATAGATGGTAATATGTTTGAACAGGTAGAGAAGTTTAAGTATCTAGGATCTACGATAACTAGAAAAAATGAAATTGAAGAAGAGATTAAGGTTAGACTGAAGGCGGGAAATGCTTGTTATTTTTCTCTGACAAAACTACTTAGCTCGCGGCTCTTGTCCCGCAACTTAAAAATTAGAATCTATAAAATCACTGTCTTACCTACAGTTCTTTATGGTTGCGAAACGTTGCCCCTTACATCAAGGGAGGAGCAACGTCTTAAGGTTTTTGAAAATAAATTATTGCGTAGAATATTCGGACCAAAGAAGGATGAATTAACCGGAGAATTCAGACGGTTACATAACGCCGAATTGCGGGAGCTATATCCGGGTAATATAATTGAGGTGATTTCATACCAGTGAATCAAATGGGCCTGTAAAATTGTTGGGCTTAGTTAATTTTTGCTGTACCGAATGGTAAACCTCCGAGGGGTAGACCGAAGCGAAGGTGGGAAGATTGGGTTATAGTCGATCTGAAGAGACTAGTTTTGGACGGCGAACGATGGAAGGAGGTGTGTAATAAGGGAAGGAGTTTTTCTGATTTTCCAACTCTAGAATTCGTAACATATAATTGTCTATATAAGAAGCAATCGGTCTCTAAATCTCCCACGAAAACTTACTAAATGTTTAAAGCATTATATTTTTGCACCAAATCGTTCGTTTTAGTGATTTTTTGAAATTTGCAGTGAATCAAGAAAGCTTTTAAATAACGATGGGTGTGCTTTTTGAGTTATTCACAAATATAGTTTTGAACCCATCGTAACTTTTTTTCATACTCTTTTCGGGGAGGGATGTTATATACATAAATTATAAGGGCTTCAAGAAGAAGGCTTAGCCAAGTTTAATTGAAATCTTTACAGCCGTTTGGGAGCTGCAGTCTATAGCGACACAGGTTTTTGGGCCGCCATTCCGAAACGAAAGACCAGATGGTAATTAAATGTATATAAAAACACTCCTGAATGCGATAGAAGCATTATGTCAATATTTCAAAGCGATCTGTGATGAAGTTTCGGAGATTAGTGGTTTTGAACAAACGAACATTTACTTTTTTTATTAATATAGATTAAATTCTTATCTGTAGAAATGGATATAGTTACATATGATTCAGCATTTAAGTACCAAGGCATTTTATGTTGTCAGATTTGGCTTTCTTCCTTCTCTGCAGAAACACAGAACTCATTTTAAAGAAGAATTTAGTTATTAGAATGTATTTTTTTCTAAGCGTATAATTATACTGTTTTCCCACTGTACATAGTTTTAAATGTTTTTTATATACTTATATGCTTTTATTTGTTTTGTATATAGCATGTTTACCTAATGCTTTATTTTTATTTTTTCTATTGGTTTTATTTAGGCCAGGTGTTATCCTTTACTTTTATACTATTTTGTCATTCTCAAACGTCTTTATCACCGAATAACGTTATTTTTTTATCTATATATTTATTTTTGAAAAATGTCTGGCAATATATGGCAAACTAAAAATGTATTTACATATAAATTTGGCCTTAAGACGCTTTCGGTAAAAATTGCGATTTATCTCTTAAACGGTAAAGTTCAGAACCTTTGATGTCCTCTTCGAAATATTTAAAACACGCTTTGACCCCCATCCATCAACTTACCAATGTCGTAATTTTGAAGCCTAATTTTTCAATTATTTCTATTAAAGTTTTTGTTCTTAAGAACTCAAGGATAGAAGTTGGGATTCGTCGCATCCCTATGGAATTTCTTTTCATTGATTTAAAACCCTCTAAAAATATAGAATTGATAATCCAACCATCATGATTGGTATGAACCTAAAGGCAGCGGACCACTAGCGGATCCAGGATTTAATTTTGGGGAGGGCTTCAGCCCGAAAGCTATTTTTTCCATAAAAATAACGATAATTACTTTGGAAAAACAGAAAGGAACTAACTACCTATATGAAATGGTGTTTAAGTGATTCCTTAAGTCCTTTTAAATGTAATTACACGAACAATAATACTTTAAGAGGTTTTTTTAAATTTTTTTTTTCCATAAAACATATTTTACCATTTTGGAGGGGAGGGGGCTTCAGTCCGAAAGCC